TATAAAACTGTCCACGTAACTGTCCACTGTGTCATTTTCACTGAATTTTCGAGCTGACATTTCTCGCCTTATTTCTTGCGACGTGAACGAGTCATTAAAATGTTCCAAAATTTCTTTCTTATAAAAATTTTCCCAAGATTCATTTGGTTTATCTCTTATCAAATTTTGAAACCACACAACTGCATTGCCTTCTAAAGCGGCTAATACTTGACGACATGTCATATTATCATTCCAGCCATTACAAGTACGACACTTTTCGACTTGTAAAAGCCATTCACGTACTGGACCAGATTTCGTTTTACCATTGTACGACTGTAATTTCGTTATTTCAGAACAATTTTTATTTACACTCTGTATCAGTTTTATTATTTCCGAAAATTCACCAGTATCTGCAGTTCCATTTACCTGCTGTGAAACATGGTCATCACGTGACCTTCTTACCTGATTCGGACGATTTCCGTCTTCGACTGCATTATTGTGCTGTGCTGCGTTATGACCGACCTGTGTCCTTTGCTGATTTATCCGCTCGATTACTTCATCATTTTTCACTTGAAGTCTTACTTCCTTGACCTGGGTCTCAATACCCGGTATTGACCGATTCGGCTGTACTCCGTACTGTTTGGACACATTCTCCCTTTGAACCGGTGATTCCAACTGGCCAAACGGGGAAATTTCACCCCCGCAAACTTGCATGCCACTGCTATCGACTGGGGAGGAATTACCCCCGCAAACTTGATATGCACCGGTACTTCCATTAAATGGAATTTTTACAGAGTTTGACTGTGACATGTTACTTACATTCACGGCCTCAAAACTTCCCGTCGTACTGCAGTTATTAATCCTAACATCTGACTGCCTGGTATTTTCAGATACCGGCGGCCGACTGAATATTGTGTTGGCCGTACCCACTGGCCTTTCTGCTTCAAAAGTTTTTTCCTCCCCGCCAAAAATTACTTGACCACTAACTTGATTTTGTTTGAGCTGATTTGACACATTATCTATGTCCTGCAGAGATTTACACAGAACCCCTCTTACATTCCGCATTATTACCTCAACATCTTTTAAACAACTGTCTTTTTGAACACATTCGCTTTGCCAGCTCTCGCTTGCTTTTAACGCCCTGTCTCGTTCAAGTTCTGCGACACACCTTAAATCTCTTTCCTGAACCAGATTTGTCCTTAACTGGGCAATTTCTAGGGATTTCTGTTCATTTGCGGACTCACTTTCAAAAAATTCTTTACATGCTTCTACCAAATCTCGCTCAAGCTCTTTGTTACATTTCTCCAACGAAGCATTACTTTTCGATACCTCCTTCACTTTTTGAAAAATTAAATCATTGTCTGCTCTGGCCGCTACTAAAAATTGGCTTGTTTTATTTAATTCAGCGTAAAGCAAACCTTTTTCATTATTTAGACCATTGACCACAGTATTAAATTCTGTTTGAAGAAATTCCTTTTCATTATTCAGACCGCTTACTACCTCGTGTAATTTAAACACTTCCTCCTGAGCTCGGAGCTGTTGTTGATATGAGGCAATGAAACCTTTCATACTACGAATTAATGTGCTTGTGTTCTCGCTTACAGCAAGACCAAGATCATACTCCGACTGCAAATTGTGGAGTTTTTGCTCGAACTGCCTAACTTCTTGAAGAAACTCGAACCGCAATGGTTCAAAATTATTTTCATGAACAATCTGCCTTAGCTGTGACTGATTTGGGAAATACGGTTCCAACGGAACATCAGTTAATTGAACATCTTGAAACAATTGTTTGTGATTAGATCGACTCGAGCATTGTGCCGGTTCGATCTGATCATCAAAATTAATTAAGAGGTTGCTTACCGTTCCTTCCGTATCTGGACTACCGTCCCATCTTACAATACTACCACTATCAGTGGGTTTAGTACCACTGATTGGTGCAAAAATTTTGTTTCTTCCCCACATATCTTCGATATGTTCCTGCGCGGATGTGCTGCTTCCGACTGACAATTGAGGAGTTGACAAAAGATTCCCATATACTGGATTCGAGGTATGAACTCCTGATTTCCCAGTTTGTGGATTTACCGATAATTTCGGATTTACCACTGACATATTTACCAGCTGTGGATTTACCGATGAATTCGGATTTACCACTGACACCGACGGAGTTACCAATTGTGGATTTACCGATAAATTCGGGTTTACCACTTTACATGGATTTACCGCCACTACTGACTGACCGCCTGCTGACTGCATACTTTGAAAAGTAAGGCTCGAGTTTTGTGCACCTATGGGAGGACCATTTACAAGTACTCCTAATGGGACATTATTTTCCCCAGAACTACCGCTAATTACCGTGGCATTGCGCGAATACCAATCTGACATAACCGCTGTGTTCTGAGACTGCGAATTTAAATTTCGTTTCAATGCGATTTTGGCCTTAAACTTCTCTCTGTATACATCGACATGCAGATCAGTCGCATCCGAGACTTTTTCTGATGCTTCACTCATTTTGTATTGCGTTCAGGCAACCGCGGCTACACCGTACCGTTTGAACGGGTTTGGCAAGCAAAAGTTGCTCTGTTCCAACTGGTTGATTACTCAACCAGCTTGTATTACCCACCGATCGATTACAGAAATACCGTACCACTAAGTGGATTAAGTACACCGCAACGATCTGCTTCGTATTTACGCTTTACACGCACCTTTGCATGCAAAAGCTACTCGTATAATTTCGTTTACGCTACTGACCTTTAAGGTTTCAGAAGCTCCGCTTCGTATTTTCAGTGCTTCTGCTACATACCGTACCACTAAGTGGATTAAGTAAGAGCAAACTGCACAGTTCCCACTGGATGACGAATCACCCAGATTGTGTTACCCACGGGCTGACAGGACAACTGACAGAACCGTTTCGTTTGAACCCACCAGACGAAAAGCACTGCTTAACGCTGGTTTCGTATTTCGTTGTTACAGCATACACTTAAGTATGCATGTACAACTTGCTTTCGTTACGTTTCAATTTACCACAGCTGACCTTTCAGGTTTCAGCTGTTTACTGTATTTTACCGCTAGTTACACACTGTGGCTGAATTCCGCCTATCAGTGATACCGCGTTAACACAACACGAGACGGTTATATCCGCTCTGTTGATTTTACCGAAATTCGAGAATTTTCAAAATCGTAGAGTAGTGGCTTTTCCACTAACTCGAGAATTTTCAGAATCGTAGAGTAGTGGCTTTTCCACTAACTCAGATACGAAAGTTCAATGTTTTGCAAGGTTTCGATTTAAAGAACGGCTAAATCTCTGCGAATTTTCGCACGTTTTACTTACAAATTCCACTCAGCGTTTCCTTGCTGATATTGCCGTTCGTTTCACGAGATCACAACTGACCTTTAAGGTTTTAGTTGTCCAAATCCAATCGTTGATTTATCGTAGCCAACCTTTGTGGTTTTTCGGCTACTGTACGGTTACTTTAACCAAATTTCACTGTTAAAATGATGCTGCAAATTCACACACACTGGCGGCTTGTCGGCCCACGAATACCACACAGAATAATCAAATGATAATCAGTTAAATTTTAGAATTATTAGTACAGCTTTCGCTTCAAGGGAGGCCTATGCTGTACGGTCCCCTATAGCCACCCTGTGCCTTAAGGACACTAGTACCTTAAGGGCACACCAGATCAAATGATCAGAAAAGAAAGTGGGATTATTTCACCCGAAGAGAGAAAGATGAGAGACAGATGCCCGGGGGCTTGGGCGAGGGAAGAGACCCTCGGTCAGTTTTGTGGGATTACAATACCCTTACTCTGACCTGGACCAATTTTCGTTTTACAGTTACAAAAGAAAATACAAAATAACGTACCATCTACAATTTTCCGTAACATCGGGAAAATAAGAACCATCGGTGGGCGCCATGACGTGAATGTAAGACCTGACACAGTGAAGTGGGTGCGTTATCCACTAGTCCGACCACGTCCAGTCGGATAGAGCGACTCTGTCTCAAACTGTTACGGAAGATGGTAGAAGATTACGTTGATCTGGTATGATGTAGGAAAGGAAAAGAAGAAGAGGTCCGGGTCCTGCAAACACGAGAAATACACACACGACGGAGAAGTATACGTTACCTGTCCGACGCTAGATGTTAGCAGAAGCGATAAGAGATATCCATCAACCTGGCGCTACAGGGCATGAAGATCGAAGAGACCGAAAGGTCACAGGATGCAAGTGGGATCAAGTGGGTAGCCTGTTACGTCACGAGAATATCCGAAGATGATAATGCACGTCGACGAAGTAGAGGAATGACCCCTGACAATAGGTGAAAGGTCACCCAGAGGTCAGTTTGAACAGCCTCACTTGGAAAGAGAAGACCAGAGCAAAAGCCTGAAGTTAATCAGATCGAGTAACAAGACTCTACTTTTGTTGGGATTACAACTCTTGACATTTGTGTGGGCGACGAGCGCCTTATATAGCCCTGGGCACCGCAAGTGCTGGCTCTTCGTACGCGCAGGTACGGGTCTGAGAACAATAGGGATTTAGAATCTAACCAATAAGAGACATCTAAGGACACGTGGACTAATCACACCGCTGCATCACTACACGTGGACAAATGAGAACATGAGGTCAACTAATACACTAGAACAATAGGTTGAGCTACGTCATCGAAGCGCGGTCACGTCGAAGTGGCAAGTCGCGGTCAAAGTTCTCTGCTGGGGATTTCTGAGAAGTCGAAGTAGAGACTCGGGGTCAGGACTCGCGTAGAAGATGTAGTAAAGCCTAAGCCTTAGTTGTAGGGGTAGAAGTAGTAAAGTAGTACCGATGTGTACTAAGGGACGCCAGTACACGTCAACTTGTTTGTATCATTGTATGCATAGATTTCGCAAGTTGTCACCTCAAATCCACTAATATTATTAGTATTTCAATATGCCATAACAATTTCCTCATATTAAGAGTACTAATTGATTAATTTGTTGTTTGATAACTTAAAAGCTGGCCGTACGCAAAGGGGCTCCCACAGTTAAAAATTACTCTAGCCTTGCAAGATAGGCTACTGTTTATTGGATGCCTCCGTATGAATCAACTTTCATAATTATTTTCATTTCATTTACTGTTCCATTTACTGTTAATACTTCTCCGCATCGTTGCTCAGTGTAACTAACAACAAATAACAGCATCATCATTCATTCTTGCATGCTGATATATGCGTCCGTCTTCAGCATGGAATCCGTATTGCAGTTTTGGTGGCGAAAGCTGTCGGACTGGATCTTCCAGGTGCCGCTCTTGGCGGTGATCACGAAGGTCTCGAAGAAGTCCAGCGGCTTCAAACTCTTAGAACGTCCATCGTGACTGGATGGATTATCGTGGTTGCCGTATACCACGCTTCCCGCAGCTGAGATCAAAATCGCTGACGTACCGTTCAGATACTTGTCTGCAATTATAATGCACGCAGTGCTTTAGTTTTAACCAATTCGAAAAACCACACTTGGGACAAATTTTCATCTGATCTTATTTACTTAGTGGTGCTCGCTGATATGAATAATGCGAATAAAAATTTTATTTTTATGTCGTATGCACTCGGCGTGCTTTCCCAAAATCAGAAAACAGTATTATGGTAATAACAATGCTCATTTCATTGACTGCACAGTGCACATTACTCATGATTACTGACAATAGTATGATTAAATCGAGGAAACCTTGCCACTCACACTTCATCGCTACAATCTACAGCTACTATCGCTAAACTACTACTGTAATATCATTTCTATTAATTTTGTAACTACGTTTCATACCGTCAATTCCATGGGCATCAAAGCCACCGTCATTCAACCTGGCTGAGCACTTGGGCAGATTTTCGTAGAACTTTCCAATCGCATCCGGTCCGCAGTACCCATGGCCATTAAATATTAGTTTCCCACTTTCTTCGTACATATTCTTTAACAACTGCAGACATAGAATCCATAAGAAAAAGCGCTGGAACCCATAAGAAAAAAAGGGATGCCCAAGTAAAATAGAAGGGCAAGAACAAGAGTCTTACGTGTCGCTCGGTATTCAAGCACTGATAGAAGCGGTCCGTAAAGTCTTTGGCTATCCTGCAGGCCTCAGATATCCGCATTTCGCGGGATATAAGTGCTTGCGCTGCCATAAGAGCTGCGGCGAAAGGACGGATTCACAACTGCGATTAACCACGATGGAATACCTCAGATTAGCAATATTAATAAAAAATAAATGTTTTTCTTGGCAGCTTTGCTGTGGTCTTGTTTATATGATTAAAAATTAGGTAATTCAAAAAATAAATTGCACCGAGCGCGAAGTGCTACTATTTGTTTACTAACTGATCGTCAGGACTAACCTACTAAGTACTAACGCTCCGTAGCAGAGTACTGTATCTACGAGTATACAGTATACACGCTACACAGCAGAGCCAAAACCAGAAAAACGCGTCCTGTAACTTTTGTAACAGACTATAAACAGGGGGATGCGCTAAGCAATTCTGAGCGATTACGATTCCGATTAAGACATTTATTAGCGCTCGAAAATTGTAAAATAGCAGAGAAAACGGGCTGAAAACCAAATAAAAAGCAACCAGATTTAAATTATTTAAAACGCATGTTTCAAGTACTTACCATTAGCTGTTTAAGTATTTAGATTATTTTAATTGTTCGTTGGTAATTTCAATTAGTTTGGTGCCGTTTGTGTTCAATTTTCTGACATACCTTTATGGCGTACCGATTACGCAAACGTTTTACGAACAAACGTTTTTCAGTTTTCAATCAAATGTTACAGACCAATATCACTGACAAATGTTTGTCAACAAATTTCTAACAAACAAATGTCACTGATAAATGCTTTCGTTACCAGACAAATGTTTTTCACTATCAGACAAACGTTTGTTGACAAACATTTGTCTGTTACTGACAGTTTTTCACGATCAAACAAATGTTACTGATAAATGTTAGAAGCCCACCACGCAAATCTGAGTGCGGACTGTGTGGTTGCGTTCAGCACGTTCGACTCACCAAAACGTTAAATCATCTGTGTCTGCCATTCAGCTGTGCTAGTTTTACTGTTTACACTTTTGAGAGGGACTCACGCCCCGTCCCAGCAGGCTCAGATCGCAGTGCAGTGGCTTTCACGCTTGGATCGTATATACCTGATCGCAGGTATTGCGATCCGCCCTTCCGCTATCTTCCGCCAACGGCATCTCGGCGATTACGTGATGCTTATGTATGCGGCTTATGGTAGAGCGGTGTTAGCGCAGGTATATCGTGAGCTATAGATTGTCAGTTGATGTTATGATTTTCGATGAGATGTTATGCTTTCGGTTTTATGATAAAAAGTCCCTTTTTATCCTTGTCTCGCTCCCGTTTCCGGTAGATCAGCACTAGAGAGTCTCCCACGCAGAGAGGAGGACTCTTAGACTTTACAGAATTTGCGAATCTGCGTCTAACTTTTTAAACTGGGTTCTTCCCGTTTTTCCCATTCCCATTTTCTAGGAATTTTTTATTCCTGTGGCAGTTATTTGATTTGTAATTTGGAAAACATAAGCCAGCAACCAACGTTACAACGGTAAAAACCAAAACAATCCAGTACCGTCGAAAGCAGAATTCCAGCACCAACAAGGACTTCCAGCGAAATACGGAGATTACATTATTTCCTGTAATTGGACGGGTGGAACTGGAATAACAAAAATGGCAAAAAATGTCAGAGTCCGTAGTCGCGCTTCCGGTGCACAAGACGGCAGTTACATTTGATCAAGACATTTCATTCTAACATTTGTCAGTAACATTTGTTTGATAGTGAAAAACATTTGTCTGATAATGAAAAACGTTTGTTGGTAGCGAAAAACATTTGCCAGTGACATTTGTTTGTTAGAAACTTGTTGACAAACATTTGTCAGTGATATTGGTCTGTAACATTTGATTGAAAACTAAAAAACGTTTGTTCGTAAAACGTTTGCGCAATCGGTGCGCCATATACCTTTGCCAGGTGGATAAATCAAAAGCTGGAAAGTGGTTTCATTATTTTGCAGTAAGGCTAGATTTTTGCACTAGAATACGTTGGTTTGAAAATTCAAACTCTTCTTTACTACATATGCGCATTTGGCTCGACCTCGAAAATGATTCGGAAATCTTTCCTGTCATTGAAGTGTTGAACGTTATGATTTCGTATGGCAAGCATTTGCGCCGGACTGCCTGGACGGATGGTTTGCGCAACCCAAAGCACATTCGCTGTGCCTCCACGTTTTCAGTGCCGTTCACAGCTGATCGGTATTCCATAAAGCGTGGAAGCTACGAGAAGATCAACGACCAAGACCTTGCAAAATTTCGACAGATACTGGGCAATGATAATGTGATAACCAGCGATGATGATCTGGAGCGGTATAACGTAGACTGGCTGAATATATGCCGAGGTATGTAGCCATCTGGCGCTACTGCATTCCGTCCCATTTTTCAGAACTTAGTGGCTTATTTTGGCGTGCACTTTTAGGACAGAGCCAAGTGGTGCTCCGTCCCAAAGACACGCAACAAGTTTCCGCCATAATGAAACACTGCAACGAACGCAATTTGGCCGTGTGTCCGCAGGGTGGTAACACAGGCCTCGTGGGCGGAAGCGTTCCCGTGTTTGATGAAGTGGTCATCAGTATGGGACTGATGAACAAAATCATTTCCCTGGACAAAATTTCTGGTATTATGGAATGGGGTTTTTTACGATTTCCGCTGTTCTTTTTCACATTGGCGTGGAGACATCAGTAAAATATTTAGGATTTTGTGATCTTTCACAATTGGGAGACTTTTATTTCGTTAAGTTACGGCTAAGTTCTACCCATTTATTAAATGTTTTCGGGTGAACGTCCAAGCTGAAAGGCAGACCAGTCCGCTATTGTTGTAGTAAGAGAAAATTCTTACCTTAGAGATAAAAAGTTGACATTTATTTGGACAGGTCAGGGCTTTGAATTTCTGTTTTGTTTCCCAGGCGTAGCAATAGCTGAAGCTGGGACCGTACTGGAAACGCTGGAAAATCATGCTATGGAAAGCGATCGGATTGTGCCTCTGGATTTGGGAGCTAAAGGATCCTGTCACACACATAGGAGGTGACACGTGCATTTTCAATGGAAGAATAATTAGTGATTGCACGAATGTACTTATTGCCATATGCGCTTCTATTTAAATCATTTTTACTTGAACGTAATAAACGTAATAATCTACAAAAGTACAGTGCTGTTATACAGACGTTTGGGGACACTGGACGGTGTACAACTTATACTTGTAAATATGCTGCTGTACTGCGGGATATTAATTTTGCGAACATTTGGGTATTTTGTAGGTAATGTAGCCACAAATGCTGGTGGGTTACGATTTTTATGCTACGGATCGCTGCATGCTAATGTACTTGGACTGGGAGTGGTAGGTTAGTATCATGCAACGTTACGACAAATAGTTACGGCGACATCCTCTAAGGAAAACTTACGTTCATGTCAAACCTTCCATACCGGATACTTTTATTCAGGTTTTGGCTGATGGAACAGTTCCTCCCTTTGGAACAAACATGCGAAAGGACAATACCGGATACCATCTGCATCATTTATTTATTGGTAACATGCTGTAAAAATATATATTGGTACACTGCATTTGTCAGATGCAACGACACCTGCTTATCGCCGCGTTTTAGCCGTAAAAATGCACGATATCAGTTTTATTCTCATGACTAGAGCGCGGTGAGGACCTGGTTTAATGAATTAGTTTAATTCAGTTGTGTTCACTGTCCGTCTGTAATATCCCTGGATGGTGCAGGTAGCGAAGGAAGTCTGGGAATAATAACCCAAGTTGCCCTCCTCTGTCCTCCTCGACCGACATCAGTCAGTTTATGTTTACTAGGTATGGTGGATTGCATATATTGCTAGTACTGACTGAACACGTTATCACAACCAAAAATTTTTCCAGGATTGAATTCATTTGAGGATGTTCTGCAGTGCTACCAACAAGCCGGCAGCCGCCTAACGGACATCATGTCAGCTTTCGAATTTCTGGACACTCAGTGCTTTGCTGTATCCTGTGAAGAGCATAATGTGCCTGCACCTTTAAAAGAATTTATGCCATTATTGAAGTTTCGGGAAGTTTTATGCCATTATTGAAGTATTGAAGTTTATTGTTTATTCCTTTTTATGCCATTATTGAAGTTTCGGGATGGCAGCCGGAAGCTGATTCTACTCGATTAAATGAGCTGTTGGAAGATTTGATGGGAAATGGTTTGGTAACGGATGGCATCTTTACCGACGAACCTTCTCGAATGCAGGTACTACTAGTGCCAGGTTACCATAAGCTGCAAAAGTTTTTGCATTTGTCAGGAGTCGTTAAAAATATTTTCAGACTGTGTGGAAAATTCGCGAAGGCGTCGCAGAGGCTTCCGCTCGCCGTGGATACTGTTACAAATATGATCTATCCATTCCTAAACAGCAGATGTATCAACTTGTGCAAGATATGAAAAAACGTTTGGGGTCTAAAGTGATCTTTTCCGCTGGTTATGGACATTTGGGAGATAACAATCTGCACTTGAACATTATTGCTGCTGATTATACACCGGAAGTTGCAAAAGCGATAGAACCATTTGTATTTGAATGGACCAGGGAAAAAAAGGTTCCATTTCAGCGGAACACGGTCTGGGTTTCAAAAAGAGGAACGCTATCCATTACAGTCAGTCCCCGGCAGCGGTGAGTGTCATGAAAAAGATGAAACTACTTTTCGATCCTAAAGGAATTTTGAATCCCTACAAAGTGTTGCCGGATGATGGTCGCAGCCTTGGACATGAATAACTTTTCTTCGATAGTCGAAAAAGTCAAAAGCTGATATTCCATGCGACTGTGGTTACAGATCTATTATTACATGTATACGCTTTAATAAGTATTGGCAGATTGACTGTTAGCGAAAGATATGTGCGTGCCTTCTGTTTAGAACCATAATATTTTTGTGCATGCGCTTTTTTATTGTTTCACGGAGGTATTGCTGTATCAGTATGCACCTATAACTTTATTTTATGTGAAACTTTCAGATTAAAAAGTCGTACAGATTTTCTTGTGACAAATACTGGCGTTATAGTATTATCGTAGGTGTTGCAAAAGCTCACTCGGTATGTCACGGATTATGAAATTGAGTAGCCCTCATTTTAACTGTTAGGATGGATTCCGATTTTCCCGCCGGTATAGTTACTATCAGTCACGATAAAAAATAAACTAGTAAAAGTAAAGACAGAACATATTGTACATGGCTATGTTACAATGCAGGTGTACAACACCAGGTGCTAGTTAATTTCGTGTGTGCAAAAAACAAAAAACTCAGGAAATTATGACTTTATCAAAATGTAGTGAAGAATTTACGGCGCTGCAGTGGTTGTAGTGGACTGGGCTGCAGTAGTTTCGACATATTTTTTGGCTGTAGAGTCAACACTGCGTCTGCCGTCGACGTTGTCCTTCCACGGGAACGAAGCCGGACACGCCGCCGTGGACAAACGGGAGGTCACACTCTATAGGTTCACACACGTTCGGAGTGGCTTCTTCATCGCACGCCCAGGCTGTGAACTCCGCCATGAGATCTAACGTGGTCGGCGTTAGATCACGCGGAACACGCGGAATGTCACTCGTATGGCTCAACATCCATTCCCGATCCAAGCGGCTAACACAACCTTTTGTGGCACAACTGTACCGGCAAATGAAACGAATTTTCCAACCGGACCGCCAAACTATGGAATGACCTCAACTTGAACGAAAGCGCTTATCGGTGGTGATATGTGACGAAAAAGGTGTCCTGCTCCGGCTTCGTAATGACCGTTTCGATGAACCGCGAAGGGCATCGAAGTTGTCTTGCATCCAGTTGTGATCGATGACGACGATGAGTAACACCAGTGGTGCGCGATTATCATGATAGTGCCTGTAAATTAAACACATAAGTTATATACAATTTGTTTCGACAATATGATGACGATGCAAGAAATTCCATTGGAGATGTCGTTTGTGCAACGCATTTCAGGCGGAAATTGCAGAACGACCTAGGCCTACCGGTAGAATCTCTTCAACAGCCACTGCATAACCTGTATGAATAACATAGAGTAACTTGAAGATTTTATCATGCAATAAAATTAAAATAGCTCACACAATAAAAATGCAGCTGAATTATGCACAGCTCTAGTACATACACCTTTTGTAAGTACCGTACTGCATCTCCGAGAATGCGGCTGGGATAGTGTACAGCTACGTCGCATAAAGCGTTCATTGACTGTGACTGTAGCTTATAAAATGTTATTTGGTATTACTCCTTTTTGCGATAATTTTTTCGTTGTTTATGAATCCGTTCCTGCCGTTAGTACTGTTGCAGGTAACACGCGGAATGCCACTCGTATGGCTCAACATCCATTCCCGATCCAAGCGGCTAACACAACCTTTTGTGGCACAACTGTACCGGCAAATGAAAACGAATTTTCCAACCGGACCGCCAAACTATGGAATGACCTCAACTTGAATGAAAGCGCTTATCGGTCTTTACGGACCTTTGAGAAGGCATTGGACAGCGTTTCATGGGAGCATATTCCTTGGATAAAAGAGCTGTTACCTTGTTAATACCTTCTTTCTCGTCTCTGTTTTTAATCAACGACATATTTCATTGGAGAATATGTGTTTGAATTTCATTGTTTCTGATTTGGTTGTCTGTAGATCTCGATAAGGAGCGATTCCTTGTATCTAGAGACGTTAAGCAATAAACCTAAACCTATGATAATTGCTTAATTTTACAAGTATTTCTATTAGTGCATATTATTTCGGTTTATAATTTTTGAGTTGTATTCGCCTATGTAACCTTCTTTATCAGCTCATTACTGGATTCGTAAATTACGTATTGCGACCTTGGATTTGTGATACATACTTCGTCCGAAGATTTAAATTCATCATTTCGGCACGATCCAAGCGATGAGCATCCGAATCCTTGAGCGTCCACTAGCTGGTTGATGGGTATTTCCCACAAGTTATACGGCCTTGTGGGACAGCCGGATTGATGGCACTTATGCGGCACGGAATAGGCTAATTTATACGGCCAAACAGGTCGCCCGGCTGACGGTACTGTTATCTTTTCATGTGCGAATAAAAATAAAGTAACATAGTTAGTTTACAACCGAAATTATTGAACGCAGCAACAATACCTATAGGTCAGTCATATGCATAGCTGAAACAAATTGCTGCCTACTGTAAAATGTACCGAGCTATCCCATTCAAAGCCGAAATCCTGCATAGCCGCAAACTGCGTGTTGCCGCCTAAATGCAGACTGGGTGCCTGTGCGCCGCGTACTTCCGTCAGCGGAATATGAGCGAAATTGTTCAGGATTTCTCGCTGGCCTTGCAGTTCCATGCCCCAGTCTTTGTAGCTGGACACGGAGGTCCACCAAAACTGATTTTCTCGATCTCGACTGTAACATTATGAATAACAGTATGTAACGATTTGAACGAATTCACTACAAAAAATTGCATCTATCGTATATAAATTAAAAGGTAGTATTGGATTTCACTCCTTGGTAGAAGACCCATGAACACTACGATTAAAATTCTGTATTTGTTCGGCTTTTATTCAATTTGGATTTTCACTTGCCTTATGGTGCTGAGTGCGATTTCATGTCCACTGAGGAAAAGCCGTTCGATCTGCGAATAGTCGGAATATTCGTGCGAGACGAAGAATGTGCCGCGCACCGGACATTGGTTCGGGTTCAGACGCGTTGGAAGGAAGAGGGCACGAGTAAGGTCATAGTTTTGAATGTTAACGGCTCCCAAAAATGCCAGCACAATCATCTGTATAAGGCTTCAATGATTATTGTGATACCAGCGCCTTGTGTTAATTTTTTATTTGCTTTGGGGTTTCTGCATGTCTACTGATGCCTTTATCTTGATTACCTGTGGAACTTGATTCATCTGAAGATTGTTTGGTATTTGGGTGCCATCTAGATCTGCGCTGCAGAAGCAGCTGGGGAGGACGCAGTTTTCCTTTTTGCACGGCTGGCTGGCAAACTGGTCGGTTTTTACATCTAAAGACATGAATAAAAGGGCAAGCATAAAAATGGATGCATCATTGCAAGAATCAACAACGTAGCAAAATTATTTAGCAGGCATAGCAATGGGAAAACACATTTAGATAAAAAAAATCGTAAAGTACTGAAATATATATATATGTTTACCACAGCCGTATTCATCCGTGCCACCTTCTGGACAGTCACGCACAGTATCACATACTTTTGTTCTGCAGTTTAAGCCGGTATACATAATTTCTGGGCAAACGATTACATGTAAGTATGTATAACACAATTTTACCTTTATTTCACAATTTCACCTTTATAATACAATTTCACCTTTAATTTGAATTTGACAGTATCTCATATACTGATTAAGTTTGGAAAAAATGCACGCTGGTATTTATCTAAACAGTTTCTTTTAAAGCGCACTTTATGCTGCAGAACCAAAGCAAAATTTAAATTATATTACAAAATAAATTTTGCAAGAAAACGATTTGTAAGGCTTCTTTTATCCTTCGATATCGGCGTACCGTGCGATGCACGTGGAACCGTCCGCACAGCGCACATCATCCAAACTCGTGCACTGCACCAGTTCTGCTGCGGCTGTGGCAGCATGTTCCGGATGCGGAACCGGTGAAGGAGTGGTTTTATTCTGCGGCCCTTCAGAACAAACGATATAACCGTCACAACAATAGCCTTTTAGAAAAAACGTACGCTTTGCCTTCTAACCTAAAGCGGTAACGCATTTCGCTTTCCAGGTGCAGACTTGCAGCTCCAAGTCAAAGCGTAATCCCGGTGGACAGGAGAAGTGGAAGGTCTCATCGCTGAAGCAGCTGTAGAATGCTGCACAGTCGCTCTAGCATTATTAGTAAGAATTTCAGAGTGTTAATCATGTTAATTAAATTAAAACACAGGGAAATAGTTTGTTACAACAGTTGGTTTACCGGATCGGCGTAAAGACCGTTGCTTTGTCCAATACAAAATGTGGCATCGTATGACTGCCGAAAGGTCGTTCCAAAAATGAGTGCTGGGAAAGACGCAAAAGCACAGCAGATTATCCTAAACCACTGTGCGACATCCAGCAGTACCATTTTAGTCGTGCCGCTCATAAATAAGTAAATCAATTTCGACTAAGCTTATCAATTAAAACTTTGTACGGGTGTGTTAAATGTGTGAATTCAACAAGCACTTCAAACGGTCATAAGTTAAATGTAGCTCATGTTACGGGCTTACGGCCGCCTACAAAACTGCATCCACAGACGATTTATTACGAAGGATATTATACACAGAGGTAGCAGTTACTAGTGCCATTTCATTTACCCCTTGCTCATTAACAAATAAACTAAATAAATATACAGCGCAGAAAAACAATGGTGCGGCTAACATTGCTCATGTTGTAGAATAACCGGCATTAAGTGGTCAACCTTACAATACCTGAAAAACAGCTGCTTTCAAGCCTGAATCGCGCGTGCTGCTGCATTTATTTTGCGTAAGGCCCAGTACGCTCGTACTACAAACAAGCAGTGGTCAAGCGCCCCCATCTTGCTGGACTTTATTGTGAAGTACGTAGATACAACCAATTTGTTATGCGCATCAGGCATGATAAATTTGCGATAATATCTGTTATTGTTAATTTACATCGTATAAATTACCATGCAGTTTTGCAGCTGCCGCATGAAAATGCAGTAATTTTCAACGATTTGTTCTCCAATGTGCTGCGTACACTTTGTTTAAATTCAATTTCGTTTAAGGTTTGGGTTTGAATTTTGTAATTACGAGTATTGTAATACTGTGCTTCGTTTAATTATTTTGGCGCACACAAAGGATTTGCCAGGATTGATCACAGTGTTTAAATGAGCATTACAACAAGTAAAAAAATAAAAAAACCGAAATAAAGTATTTTTATCACGAAAGATATTGGACAGGTACTGCCTGGGTAGGAAGTGCGGTAGTAGTCGCGCTATCTGTAGCATCTTTCTCGAATGATAAAACAATTTCTAAAACGGCTACATAGGTCCCGGTAACAAAACCGAGAATTCCAAATATAAATATGGCGGCATTCTTAATCAACTTCCAGTGCAGTTTGCCTTGATTCTGCCAACCGTAGGTGACAGTTTCTAATACCGGTGGAAATATAAGTGCAAGGGAACTGCTTCCCACTGCTCCCACAAGGGAGATGAATAATCCCAGTTTAGGAATAGCAACGGCAAGAAGAACTAAAATTACGAGTAATAAGAATCAGCACGCACAATTGCACATGACGAAATTTTAAATACATATATATATATATGCGGTTACAATTGTGTTCATGAAAAACTTACACGTAAATATCACGATGCCGGTGCGAAATAAATATTCACCGATCTTCACTTGGAGGGGCGTCCTGAGGCGCTTCTTCACTGTTGGCCACAAAATTTCAAAAGGGACATAGAACTGCAAAAAATATGAAAGTAAAGCATATGAAGCAATTAAAACGCACAAATACGATAGCGCTCAACAGCAAGGAAGTCACATCTCACGGTAAAGCATTTGAACGAGTGGTTTACAAAGTTACCTGAAGTGAATAGGAATAAAAAACGACGAGACCGACCAGAAGGATAACCACAATGTATATCCTGAAAATGGCATTAGTATTACCGTATCCAGATCATGGAGTATCAATTCATCATAAATTAATAATGTGCGATTTTAAGCTATAAATCAGATCTAAAGCTGTGGGTAGCATATGTCCGCTAGTCTGTGTATTTTGGATACAAACAGTTGTCCTGTAGACCAATTGTCCACTGGTCCACTTCATTTATTTTCGAGTAAACATTTTGCTTTACTTATTGTTTCAATAAACATGCGTCAGAAAAAAATGGCAAAAACTTACCAAAAAGAAATACCAAAAAAGTATGGTGGCAGTAGTTTAGTAGTAATCAGAAATCGTGACTGGATCTTGTACACACGATCTAAATACTCACCCTTTATGGGGCGAAAGCGTATATTGCAGTCCCAATAAACAGCGGCAATTTCGACCATCCGGCAAATTGTGGGACCGAGTCAACTGATTTTAAATGGCCAAAAACGTAAACAAAAATTATCACCAGACAGGTGCATAAGATGAGATTGGCTGCCAAGGAAAAGGGCGCTAGAATCTTTAGGCTCCGAATGTAACAAAGCAGAATCAAGAAGGGAAGTACCATAGCTGTGTACGCCTGTATCGGCAGCTCAACGTCCGTATAGTAGCGAATTACCTGGAATGCATAAAGTTTGACCGATTACCTACGTAGTTTCTATTGCATTCAAATTGGTTTAACGCATGCGTATACCTCTAAGTCTAGTAAATCCAACAGAATAAATAGCATAACAAACAACGTAACTTGTGCAATTATATAAGGTGATTCCACAACTTGATACCGACATTAGTTATCTACTCCAATTATGCAAATGTATATAAGATAATTGTTTACGTAATAATATTGCACATATAAATATGTAAACCCAAAAAATGCATACATCTTGCAGTGTCGTGGCGACGTAAACGATGTAGACGCAGCAGAATCCAAACTGTGATACAATTATAAGCAGATCCACAACTTTTCTGAAACAAAGAGATTTTTTCCACTTTTGTACTCCCAGCTAATCATTTGGATTCGTTTTCTTCTTAGTCAGCCGACCAATAATTATGACTCGAAATACCTACTTGGAGAGATTTGCGTATTTACTGTACGAGCTTTGCCTGAATGCCGCCTGAACAACTTCCCCGTATCCAAAGCGTTTTTTCCTTCTCTGCAGAAATAAAACACAGGTGCACTTGTGCTGACTACAAGTTTACAACTACACTGCAAAAAGCAGTATAAAATTTTACAACAATTGGTCGGTATCATGTACAGTGTATTTGTAAAAATTTGACTTAAACAGTGATAATTGATATCTTATCACTCACACTTTGCAGAGATGGTGGGCACAGTTCACAAGAATGTGCATACAATGAATACCTGAAAACCCCTTAAAAATTGTAGAACATGTACATAAAAATCAGTATCAATGTATCAATGAAAAATCAGTATCAGTATACATAAAAATCAGTATCAATGTATTTCACTTCCATCGCAATATATAAAGATACAGCGTGAATAAAAACCACTACTTTGTGTAGAGAGCAGTCAATAGGAAACAAAAGTTTCAGTTGTCTATTCATATAAACACTTACAAATAAATCCCATCACAACAATGGCAATCGTTCCCGTCTGGAATCCAAGCATAAAAAATCAAAATTGGCAAGATGGAAAATCGTCACATTGTATGCAAGTTAAAAAAAGCGGGTTAATACTTTTTTTCGCCACCTTACTGTACACAGCTCGTCATACATACCGTCAAGCCTGCGTTGTTCACTGCGCTTGCCATGGCAAAAATGCCGGTCCCGATGTTTACTTTGAGCAAGATTTCTAGAAAGTTGTAAACATGGAAGGATATCACGACTGCCAGTGTAAAAAACACTGTTAATTACAAGTTATTTGTGAGTGTTGACGAAGAAAAATATTGAACATCTGTATCAGCTGGTTTTATATTCAAATTGGTGTTTTATATTATGATATTCAAACTGATTTGAATAAGGAAACTTTAAAGGAATTTAAGCAATGGATTGCAAACCGCGTACTTACGTCGTGGTGGTTTGTGCATTTCTCCTGTCTTCACCGAGGTCAGCGTGCGCAAACGGATCCAATTCCCGCTCACTTTCCACATCTTTTCTTTCGTAGTTTTCCCTGGCCGCATCCTCACCATGTCCAACAGTATTTACTGGTGACACCGCAAAATCACTGTCGACACTGTTTATCACCGATGTAGGCGCGTGTGATACTCCGTCAGGGAAAGACATTTTGGCATAGAATTACGCAGCTGCATCCGGTTGGAATCCCAGACACGGTAGAATACGGCACAGTACCGGTTGGACACTAAATAAATAAACATATTGGTCCTCTTATCCGATTGTGTCGAAGAGGGTATTTTTGAAATTGATACCAAATGTTTCGAAAGCTACCTGGCACTGCTCTGATGGAGTACCGCAATCGGAGACGGAAACAGTTGCTATGCCGAATGCGGATGGCAGAACGCTGCGGTAACATATGACTCGGATTGTTTGTACGGGCTGCTGCATTTGACTAATCTGGGTTTGTAAGGAAATCGCCATACTTGGTCCATTTCCTGCTATCTGACTCTGCGTAACAATATTATCGGACGAACCTTTCAGGAATGTCGCTGCTTATGAATAACGTGGTAGACATGCTTTCAGATTGCGGGTTCGGTTCAAATGGGCAACTTGTTTATCAACCGCGGTAAATTACACCATGTCGATAGAAAAAGAACGAAAAATGCCGATACAGTTTTGTGCCTAACAAAACGTTTCTTGGTAATCTTTCTCAAATGACAAGTGGTTACAATTCGATTTTTCTGTAATATTAATTTTAAAACCGCATATGTGACCTTATCCTGCTTGCGTACCTATCTTATTTTCGGGGTGCTGCGCCATGACCGGAAGTCCAATCGATCCGATTCGCTTCAAGCTGCTGTTGCAAAAAAAATGTTAAGCACATACACAATTTACTACGTGTCCTAAATTATTCATACAGAATTATACAATTTGCAAAAGTTATGTACTGCAGTACCCATACATACATTTTTGTGCACGACTACTGTTGGGCCAGTCGCTATGGCAGCCTACGAGTATGGCAGCCAGCGACAGTCCCGTTTCCGGTGTGCTGACTCACACCGCCCAGCCTTTCGTCTCGGCCAATCATCGGCCTCGATGTAGGCGGAGCCACGCCTTCTTTCCACATCTCGGCCTATCAGCGTTCGTTCGCTCGTGTTGGATCAGCCCAGTGTGCCGCATAGGCTTTTCCCATGCTTTCGGCTCGATGTGCCGTTCACTTTGTTCACTAGCAGATCATTCAATGTACTTTCACGATCCTGCTCGCACCGAGCCTTTGTGTTTTGGTTCTCTGTACTTTATTGCTATCACAATAAAGCCTTCTTCTCACTATCGTGAGCCTTTGTTCGCCTGCTGTCACATGATAGCATATCGTTGAGTTTTTCCTTCTACGGACCCTTTGAGACCACGGTGTAGACTTACATCCGTAACGGCCGACGTGAGGACAGGGGAGAACCAACGGTTCCTATCCCCATCTGATCGCCGCCAGCCAGAACGGTCTGGTCTCTTTTCTCTCTCTTGCGGGCAGAAAGCCTCGGCAGATCCTTCTCCTGCGCGTGGACGGAACGTTCCTCGCGGCAACAACCCTCGGACGGACTTTGCCCGGGTTGATTAGCGGCTACCGCGGATCCCCGGACGGAACGGACGGCACGGACCCAGCGGACCCTCGCGGACCCTCTCAACCTCATCAATCGGGGTCGCCTTTGCCTTAAGTGGCACCCGCAACTTTACCAGCGCGGGATTCACCGGATCAACAGGCGGATTCACGCGGACTTACCCGGTAAATAGGGTCGACTGACCCTCGGTAAGCCTCGTAGAGCCTTTAAAGACCCGATATAGCCGGGCAATTTTCATTTTTACCGGACCAAAAATAGTTTTGGCCGGCTAAAACTTATTTTACCCGAAAAAACGGGCTTAAAAACATCTAAATAGGGTAAAAATAGGGTTAGCTAGCCTTACTAGGCCGGACCCTCGAGCCTCGGTGTAGACCCTCTGAGCCTCGGCTATCGACCTTTCTGAACCTTTAGAAAATTAAGGAAACTAATTTTCCCCGGCTAAATTAATTTTTGGCCGGCTAGAAAATTTTTCCTGAATTTTTCTCGATTTTTCCGAATTTTTTCCATCTCGGAAATTAATTAATTCAAAAATTTAAATAATTGTGACGTCACGACGGCCGATTTACCATATTAAAAACTGACCAATCAGGATAACGGGGAGATTCCCTATGTTATAAGTCCGTAGTGAGTCACTGTTTTTTGGAATTTTGCACGCGGCACGCAGAATCGTGACGTAGGCAGTAATCTGCAAGACCACTTAGCGGTGTGTGACGTCATAGCGGTCAGTACCGTAGTATAGGACGTACGTAAGCTGTACCCTGTATTGACAACAGTACTGAGTTGCAAGTAGTACAAGCACACCCACATCAACACCCTCACCCCACCGGACCTCTGCCCCCCCACCGGACCTTAGCCCCCCCACCGGGCCCTTGGACCTTCAACAGGCAAAAAGCCTCATCAGCCTCGGACAAGTCCCCAATAGGGATAGTCTGACTTTTTAGCCGAAGGGACAACCCGGAGGCTATTTCACAGCTCCAATAGAGCTACCACCGAAGATGTCCGGTCGAGAAAATCCGTACGAACGGAAGTTCGACCAAGGCTACGCCCGACGTGACAATGCAGGTGGCTACACCTTCCGTCATGCAGGCCCGGGCAGCGACCCTCGTCGGACTCCAACCGATCGATTAAGTCCGGCAAATCCAACAAATCCAACCAGTCGTCCAAATCGGCCAAGGAGAAGCGGGACGCGCGGATCCTGGCGGACGACTTTACCCAATCGCCGGAGGATAGCTTCGAGGACGCACACGACCGGACGTTCCTCGAGCTACCACAGGCTGAGACGGAGGTTCTGCATGACCCAATAGGTCAAACCGCGAACTCCGAGCCTGCGGCTGGACTTGTGCACCCAATAGGTGCCTCGCCAGTCTTCTTTCCGGCCATCACCCCGGGCCATGGAGCCTCGAGCCCGGCGCTAAGTAGCTCCGAGGTGTCACCGGACATGGGTGACCCTGTGCAACCCCAACAGGGCAGCATGGCTGGATCGAAACCGAGGACACGCCAGCCCTGCGCCGAATGTCTGCTACGACATATGGACAGACATGGCGGGGTCGATCGAGTCACACGACGGGATCAGGCTAGTGCCCTGTACATCCAGGTCGTCACCGGGAACTTGAGCGCCTATATGTACGCCGTCCACAACAGCCGCATCCTCGATGAGTTGCATGGCCGGGAGCTGCTCCATATGTGGGACCTGCAACGTTACCGCAGACGTACCCAGGAGCCTGGCTGGGATAATACCCCAGCAGTCCCGGATAACGCCAGATTGGTCCATGCCCGTGAACAACGACGGGAGCAGGAACGCGAAGATGACCGCCGAGAAATAGCGGCGGCAGATCGACGGATCGCGAGGGCTCAGCGCGAGCACGAAAAACGGACACGCCCGAAGGAGGATAAACTCCCACCCTTGGGCGTCGCTGGCGGCTCACAGGCTCGACTCACGGCGGAACCCAATAGGTTCCCAGATGAGCCTTCCGCCCCTCATAACACCCTCGCAGGAGTGCTGAACCCGGATCGGACCCTCAACATGCCTAGCGTTACGGATGCATTCTTGGGTGGCCCTATACCACTCAGCGGGATGACCGTGACAATAACCCGACCCGACGGCCGACAATACAAGGCCCAAGTCCTTGATCCCCAACAAACGGAGGCTCTGCCGGCAATTCAGCATAGCCAGGTGGAACAGCAACTGGTAGCCCCACAAGAAGGTGGCTTACCCCAGCAAATGGATAGCACACTCTCGCCGTCATCAACACAACCGGTAGTCCACTCGGCAGAACAACCAGCGACGGCAGCAGTGACCCCAACAGGGCCCACTCCGTCTACCCGCAGAACCCAGAGCGTGTCGGACTTGGCACCTGACGACTTGCGTCATAGGCTGGGAAGAGACTTACGACATAAGCTGGAGGCTCAAAATATGCCCACGACCGCGCAACAACCGGCTGATCAGCCTTCGAAGGATCGGACCCGACCCTCCCCCGGCAAGCGATCCGGCTCGGAGGATACCGGGCTCGTCGTGGACTCCAACAGTAAGTCCCGGCGCAACTTCACCCAGCCTGTGGTCCGACAACCGGTGGCTCGACAACAAGCCTCCCGACCACCCCCACCCTTGGAGCAAATGGACGAATTGCCAGTGCCACAACGTCCATTACCAGACCCGGATGCGGTAGTGCCAGCCCAGTATGACCCTCGGTACGACCATGCACGCCCACAGGGCATCGCAGTGGAGATCCCACATCCAACGGAACGTACGAACTACATCATGGGAACCATGCAGTACCGGGAAGACCGACGCAACCAAGTCTGGCACCTGGTCAACGACCTTTGGACCTTCCTTGACCATTCCGGATACCAACAGATGTTCGAACATCGGCAATGGTCGGAGGATTTCCAGATGCACGATCGGTTGTCTTACGGCATTGGATTTCCGTATTACCGGACAAACGGCTTGCCTAGTGCAACCGACCCAGCGACTTTGGGATTGCCACTTGACCACCTTGATTGGTCTCAGCTGAGTCAGCTTCCGTTATACACCTCGGAACGCGAGATTACGGACCATACGGAATGGGTGGCGCAGTTCGTACTCACCGAGGCACAAGCAGCCATGGTGATCACTGCAGCCAGAGCGGCCCAGGCTTTGCCTGAATACCTTGGCAACATCGAACCCGTAGCCCGGGGAGATGCTCCGATGGCCTTCCAGACAGCCTTGCGACTGATTTTTGCGGCCCGACTCGGCCATCATCACAGTCATTACACCCTGTACTGCGCGTACCGGAACAACAACATTCCGCCCCGACTTCGGACGGCTGTGGCCCAGCTGAGCACACCGATGCGAGATACGGTAGTGGGCCTATGGCTGCGTGACTTTTTGCTGACGGCAGAACGATGGCACAAGGAGTACCAGTACCATCCGGACGACGAAAAGGACGTCGATGAGGCCTCGACCCTCTCGGAGTGGTGCCGGACCCATCGCCACTTGCCACCCGGGTTCGCATCACCACCGATGCCCGAGGGCAAGTCATCATACAGGTACAACATGTGGCCTGGTTCATCATCCTCGGGCAGGAACCGCCGAAGACGCGAAGCCCGCCGGACCAAAGCTGAAAAGCCCGGACAGGAGGCCTCAGAATCGCAGTCAGCCTGCACCCAGGAGGCTACATCTTCGAATCACCCAGGACGACGGGACAAGGATGATGACTCGGAAGGCTCCCGCTTCGGTGGTGGAGCCCCGGTCAACGTGGACTTGGAATAAGAGAGACCGGTAGCTGGACCCCAATAGGGTTAGGCTAACCATAAAACCGGTCAAATGGACATGACGACGTCTCCAATAGAGACGTATCCCATAGATGGAATTCAGCTTGCGGAACCGCAGATCGTTGGCCAACCACCTTACAGTTCGTTAAACCACATTTGCTACCAGGCCGCACCCTCAATAAGGGACACGGTCCAAGAGCAGGGCAGATCGCATTAACCACCATTAGCTACCTAAACCGGACCCTCAATAAGGGATACGGCGGTAGACTTGACCCTCCACCACGTTCAAACGGCCCGGGGTATACCTTTCACCGAGCCAATCTTACCCCCTGCAGATCGCAGCTCTAACCACATCTGCTACCATCAAGAAGCTACAGAGTTAGCCACAAGTACGGCTGTCCGTGGTGATCTCAGCGAAGAAGACAACCTGCAGACCGCACCTAACCATGACGCTACTACGACCAAATAATCTGTCTTTCGATCCGAGCGGATTGCTCGATACCTCACCGGACCCTAAAAGGCTCCGGGGCTCGAGGCCCAATAGGCCTCTACTTGCGGACTAAAGTTCTAAGTTCCGTCCCTCCGACGCGGGAAGCAATGGTACCAACATCGCGGGAACGGAAATACCTCGGATCGAAAGACAGAGTCCAAAGAATCGGACCTGACCGGACTTTACCTCATGAAAGGCTTAACAACTACCTTGTGAACCCAATAGGTTCCGAGGCAAGTGCCCAGTTAGGCCTGATGAACTTTTAGGCCCTGGCCAGAGTGGGTCTGGCCGACAGGGAACCTGACCACTCTTGGCAGGACCACCAGAATATGGATCTCACTTCACCCTCCGGAAATGGACGGTTTGAAGCAAAGTTGAACACGGCACAGGAATCCTCGATAGCTTCCCCGTGAACCCAATAGGTTCCAGGTAAGGTGCCCAATAGGCCGCCGAAAAGTTAGCGGAGCCTGATTCCCCACGGACGACTAAGGCAGAACTTAGACCTCGTCGTCAGTAGAGGATAACCGAACCGGCAACCCTCGGACTACCGTAGTTCTGGAAGAGAAGCCTCCTAAACCACGTTAGTCTGAACCTTCGCACGAAAGGCGGATCTTCCGCGCAGATCAACATGACCTGCTGCTCCGCACGGATAATCCACTCCGGCAGAAGACTTCGGAATTGAACCTCAGATGGATCCCTCGGAAAGACCCGACAAGTGCGAGTTCAACCTGAACCGTACCGGACGTCTCCCCAGGCTTCCCCTGGATGAACCGGACGGAACGTTCCGGTCTCCGGCGACAATGACAGGAGGCGAACCGAGCCAAATAGCGAGGGGATGCAACCGAACTGAAGGGTTAGCCGACCCCCGACGGTTAGCTGGCTCCAGCTGGATCAGCGACTCCGCCGACCTGCTATCCCCGGAGCTAAAAGGGAACATCATAGGGCGTGGTAGAAACCCGACCCACCATCGACTCAGGGAGTAGACCCCAATAGGGATACCCCGATGTCTGAACCCTCGACCCTCGGACCCGAAGGGTCGAACCCGAAAGAAACCATAGTTCACTGGGATAACTCGCACGAATAGCGGCTGGCCAGTGGCGAACGGGGTACAACACCGTTCGTCGTTGGTCAGCCCCTCCGGCAGAAGGATCCTGGAGGCTCACCCTGGATGAAACTCGAATCATGGAACGCCATATCGGGATGAATCGTACGAATAGCGACTTGGGCAAGCACAACTGCGTAAGAATGCAATTGTCCTTGCTCATGTCCCTCCGACAGAGGACTCCCGGCTGATCAGTTCCGTAACTTGGACTGTAGAGCCCAATAGGCTCTTACCCTTGAACCTTGCTAGCCGGGACCTCGTGGACATAGGCAGCGAAAACGTCCTATATCAGCAAGGCCCTGGTGACAGCCTCAATATCGGACCCTTCGTACGTAAGGAGGCTATCCAGGGGCTCCCAGCATGACTTGCTGGGCACTCCTGTATAAACCCAGCCGGCAGAAGGACCCGGTGGACATACAGTTCCATAACTCCGACCCTCCGAGCCCAGTAGGCTCCCATTTCTTAACCGAATGCGGACTGTTTGGACCGGGAAGCGATACCTCCTGACCACTCGATCCGCACGACCAACCCATTTCCGGAACTCAACCCAAGAGGATTCCGCTAACATGTTGCCGAAGAAGCAACCGCCGTCTTCAGCACCATGTTTGCCAATAGACCCATGGATATCCCGGGAATCGGAGTATTAGCTGGCTGACTGACCTCCACTTGAAGTCAGCATGAGAGCCCAATAGGCCTCGGCAGCATAACTCCGGCGGAATCCGTCGTACGAAAAGCGACGGGACGGTGCTGCGCGGCGCGATCCGCTTTGCTCCACCGGCCTGTCCCTCCGGCAGAAGGACCCTCGGAGGATGCAAGCCTTCGCAGATCGCGTACAACCATGATCTCCTACCATGCCAAGTGGTGCAGATCAACCATGATCTCTACCTTACCATGGATGCCCATCGAGGCCCAATAGGCCTCCCTTCCACCCCGGAACTCAACGGAAGAAGTGGGACATTAGGGCACACTCATTCCCTTACCCCTACTCACGAAGCTGTGTTGGAGTAATGGTATGAGTGACCGGCATGACCATTTCACCGCGAATCGGACCGTGGTCAACCGGAAGGATGAACCAGGACATTAGGGCACGCGGGTGAATACGCGTTGGCCAGATCAGCTCACGTGCATTCCTCCGCGTCCGACATGACTGAACTCTCACCGGAGGCTATGGACGCCCATAACTATGCCAACAGGCCCAATAGGCCTTTAGCCCCCACATTCCGGCATCCCGGATGTTTCCGCCTAAGTGGAAGCACGGAATCAGCCGAGGAACGGACCAGTTTGGATTCCGTCTTTAAAACTTAGAGTGTCTACCTTGCGGCTTAGACCCAATAGGTCTTATACAGCTGCTGAGGAGCCTCTTTTGCCTGATTTTTGGCTAGTTACCCGGTGGACATCCCCAGCATCAAGCGGACTCCCACTAGAGCATGTTGGGCCAGTCTTGTCACCGAGGCTCGGACCCCCGGACACCGAGGCTGATTGACCCTCGGATACTTGTCCGGACCCTGTTCAGAGGCATTGACCCTCTCCATGTCACCCAATAGGTGACGGGAGACGTTAAAAAGGGTTTTTGCCCGGGCAGAATGCCTTCGGACCAGCCTTAGCGGATGCTGACTACCTCACCACCGAGTCTACCCCGGATACGGAGGCTGCCTTCGGCAGCGACTTCATCTCATCGGTAAGACCCTCGGTAGAGTTGCCCAATAGGCGACCTACACCGTTAACAGAAGTTTTCGCCGAGACGAAACGACCATCAGACCGAGGCTAACCCACCCTCGGACTTCAACCCTCGAAGTCCGGAACCCACCCTTTCCGAGTTACCCAATAGGTAACCACGGACGGATTTGGGATTTCAACCGGACGGAACACCAGCAAAATCGCAGAACTACGACTTATCTGCGCGGCCGAGGCTCGGATCTCCGACCCTCGAGGGTTGAACCTCTGACCCTCGGGCTCGGAACCTCGGACCCTTTGAACCCCGGCGATCATCCTCTCCAAGTTACCCAATAGGCGACGGGAGACGAATTTAGGATTTTTAGCCGAGTGGGACGTCATTACACCCATTTGCGAGGGTACAACCCGGACTCTAACTCGAGTACCGAGGCTGCCAATGGACTTAGACTCAGCAACCGAGGCTGAGCTTGGACTTTGATTTTAAAACCGGAGCTGACCCTCGGTCACCAAGGCTACCATCGGACTTCAGAACCGGATACAGGGTCGGACTCCCGCACAGAGACCATGCCATCGACCATTCAACCTTATGGAGACCAGGCATTAACCGGTCCTTGTTGCCCAATAGGCGACAGGACATAACCTAACGGTTTTGCCTGGGTCGAACCTCGGATCACCGGACTTCCCCGGAGGATCCACCGATCAATAGACCCAATAGGTCTTATTCTGCACCCAGAGAGGGTACCTTACGGTATTCGCGAATGCGACAGTGCCTCTCCATCAACCTTACCCGATGAACCTCGGCTGGAAGCAAGTATGAGCTGTCTTACTCGGCTGCGAAGGTTCCGATTGACCTTTACCGGAGGATCCCGGTCGGAAAGTGTGTTTCACGCCCGTTTCACACCCGACAATGGAGATCCATACCTTTTACCCGAAGTCAATAGGGTCGAGCCTTTGACCCTCGAGGGTCGAACCTCCGACCCTCGGTGAATCGAACCGGTACCATTGGGTATCCCGAGAACCGATGCCTCGGACCTAGATGACCGGACTTCTAGTGGACTGGAGCCCCCGTGAGCGGATGAGCTCTAGTCGGAATGAGCACCCGGCCCAAAGCCCCGGACCAAAGACTTTGAGTTTACTTTTTCTAATCTCGAAATGATGTTCTCAATTTTATTGATCTTTTTCATTTACCTGCTCACCAGGAATTGTGATGTTATTTTTACTAGAGAGAGAGAGAGAAATGGAATAATACCTTATTTTTTTTACTTTTTCGCCGTTACGGACACGACCAACAGATGCCTACACCGGTCCAACAACACCATCGACCGACCTTCGGATTTCGGCCGTGAGTTGTATCGCCACCACGGGTCCGGAGGAGAACGCGGCACGAGACACCCCCATCATCGGACACCTCCGAAGCGCAGCCACCGACCCCAATAGGGTCGTGTGCGGAGCAGGCACTGGAGCGGTACGAGGCCGGTCCTTCGCAGGGGCTCGGACTCCCGCCCAGAGGCATGTTGGGACGCTATGGCAGCCTACGAGTATGGCAGCCAGCGACAGTCCCGCTTCCGGTGTGCTGACTCACACCGAGTCGCACTCGCTGTCGAGCGCTAGATCGGCCTCGATTCAGGCAGCTTTCCGCCCAGCCTTTCGTCTCGGCCAATCATCGGCCTCGATGTAGGCGGAGCCACGCCTCCTTTCCACATCTCGGCCTATCAGCGTTCGTTCGCTCGTGTTGGATCAGCCCAGTGTGCCGCATAGGTTTTCCCATGCTTTCGGCTCGATGTGCCGTTCACTTTGTTCACTAGCAGATCATTCAATGTGCTTTCACGATCCTGCTCGCACCGAGCCTTTGTGTTTTGGTTCTCTGTACTTTATTGCTATCACAGTAAAGCCTTCTTCTCACTATCGTGAGCCTTTGTTCGCCTGCTGTCACACTACACAACGACCGAAAAAAGAATAAAATTGATATCGTAAGCAGTTTTATCCAGTTGGTGGGTAGAACATCTGCGGTATTTTGTCCAAATTTAAGATTAATGCGCCCTGGTTTCACCATCCTTAACTACATACATGGTAGCAACTAACCAAGTACTCTAGTGGTAAGCACTCCAGCATGTAGTACAATATCATATAGCAGACTTAGTAGACTTAGGACTACAGGCAGTCGAAATCTTTATTCGGAATTGTCGTAATGAGTTTATTTCGCAAAAAATATTGTTGTGAAACATACTTAACCTTGTGATATTAACAAATTCGGTTATCCGAATAATATCGTTAATTTTGTTCATATTAAAGAAGGCTTGAGAGGATGAGTCACCAAGCACACGCCTATGTCGAAAGCTAATAGAAAATCAGCTGATGGCTTTTGCAGCTGCAAGTGCGAATCGCCGCACATACGAAGGATGCAGTAAATACTGTACTAAAAACGTTCGCTTTTGTCAGCTTTTGGTTTGTCTTGGGTTCTTGAAATAAATTCCGTTTAGTTATAGCTGTTTCAGTTAAATTATAATTTTGCAGACTGTTCCCCTGTTCGCGCATTGGAGCAGTTGGACTGGAGAATTGTTTGGAGTCTCTGCATATCGCGCGTGTTTAAGCTGCATTTTTGCAGGCTTCTCTTTTTTTGCGGCAGAATTAATTGGTTCTCCTGATCGTGAGCTGTAATTATCCCATTGCGCGGAAGTAGTAATCTAACGATACAAAAATGAGGGGACCGTCGCAAGCCGTGGAGGAGCCGAGTGGGAATTCGACGGGCGTGCATGCTTACCGTATTCCGATCACGGGAGCCATCGACTTATTCGCCGGAGCGCTTGGTGTGTGTATAAAATGGATCTCTCCAACCCCGCTGGCGCTGATTTTTATACAAACGTATTCCATCTGGTTTCAGGCGGAGGTCTGGCAGTTCTTGTTTGCCAGCCACTGGATACAATCAAAGTATGCTGTGAACCTGGCTAATGCTTTTTGCATCAGCGTTGCGTTTGTCTGCAAGCGTGCTGTCCTTATCAACAGGTGAAAATGCAGACGTATCCGCAGTTTTTCACGGGCGCCTGGGATTGCGGGAAGAAAACCTGGAACACACAAGGAATAAAAGGACTTTACGCCGGAACTGTGCCGTCTTTGGCGGCTAACATTGCTGAGAATGCTTCGCTGTTTTTCTTCTACGGACTGTGCCAGAGAGTTGTGCAGGTAAGTTGAGTACAAGTACTGACAATGAGTTAGTACTGACTCTAGAAATTCTGATGGTGGTATCTTTTCTCGTTTCTGTTTTTTATGTTTGTTTCTATATCGTTCGCATAGTTACGTTGCCTAGTTATAAATATTTCTGCAGAAACATACAGAAAATATATAGAAATATATAGAAAAGTTTTTCTACTTACGGTAATAATAATTTGGTACAGTAGTAGTGGGGTCGTTCCAGTCGGTTGGTATTTTTGCTGTTGATTCAAGTTTTTATCATTTTTTTAATTCATTTTTATTTTTTTTTCAGTCATTCGTTCATTTTTTTTCATTCATTTTTTCCTTTCATTCAAAATTTGTTTTTGAAACTCCCACTATGTGCGGCGCTAAGATTTTTTCCAGTTCACTTTGATAGATAGACGGGTAGACGTTTTACCGCGACGACCGTAGTTATCGACAACTACAATGCATGAAGCGGTCGTATTGCATCATTTTGGCTTTTTCGTCGTTTAGTTAGAGTTCAAAGTCTCGCTGTGCGCAGAAGATTTAAGTACTTTGGACTTACAGAATTCGACTTATATTATTTGAATTCGAATTATGCACTGCAGTAACTGCATCGGGTTACTTTGCTGGATGTGAACTGATCATGGAAATTTTATTTTTATTCTCTTTTTAACGAAAATCCATATCAATGTTTAATTTAATTTCATAGGGAATCTCTTTGATCGTTTTCGTTTTGAATGTTCTTACACTTATTTAAAGTAGCCTTATTTGTTCGTGTAAAATCTGCATTATGAGCAGTTCGTGCTGCATCCCTGTCCGCTACGTATCACGTTGATTTGGAAGAAAATGTCTTGTTTTCCAGAACATTGTGAAGGTCCCCCGCATCGAAGATTTAAACAGCTTCCAGAATGCAACAGCTGGTGGCGGTGCGGCATTTTTTACGAGCTTTTTCCTTTGCCCGACTGAATTGTACGGTTTATTGGTTTTAGAATTTGTGCTTTTACGTATACAGAATTTTGTGGCTGAAACTTCAGGCTCAAATGTCAACTGCAAGCGATGGCCGAAGCACGCCAAATTCAGTTGGCTGAAAATCCTAACGTGAAATTGGAACCAAGAATGTGAGAAGAAAAATGTGTGAATGGCATGTGTGATACTTTTATGCGGTTTACTAATATTCCGCTGCAGTGGACCTTGGACTTTGATGCGGCGAATATTGAAACAAGAGGGCGTTATAGGCATGTTCAGAGGCTTGAATAGTACCTTTGCCCGGGAGATTCCCGGATATTTCTTCTTTTTTGGTGGATATGATGCTGCGCGGAATGTGTTAGCGGGAAAGGGGTCGAAAGATGAGCTGGGACCGGTCAAAACCGTTTTGTGTGGAGGGTTTGCTGGTGTTTCTTGTTGGGCAGGTAGGTTTTGTTAATGCTGCTTTCTACAGTTAACTGTTAAGAAGTACCGGTATCAAAATGTAGTACTCTAATAGCTGGTGCGTATTGCATTGTTTCATTTGATAGGCTGACAGCGAATTAGCCCTAATAGAAAATTGATAGAATTTTGTTATTGTTTTTCTTATGGTCTGCAGCAATTTTCCCGGCTGATGTCGTGAAAAGTCGATTGCAAACTGGGAGAGCCCATACAGGATTTTTCACAACATTGATAACGATTGCGAAAACTGAAGGTAATATTCATTGGCAATATTTTTTGCCGACTCGCAGATTAATGTGGCACAGATGTATTTTTTTATTTTAGTTTGCTGATTACTTAATTTTGTCTCTGTACACTGGCAACACTGCTGCTGTTGTCAGTTCTATTATAAGAATGCTGTGTCACGTAATGAATACAATAATGTATAAAAAGTTATGTTATGGCTTGCTCAGCAGAGAATGGTACTATACAGTAACGCAGCGCTTACGATTCCAGTACTGAATTGCACGAGTGAGGTTATTGAATACAGCACTCTTTACAGGTGTTCTTGCCTTGTATAATGGACTTACACCAACCTTGATACGAACTTTCCCGGCATCTGGGATCCTCTTTGTGGTGTACGAATTCACCAAATCCAGTCTGGAGAAGCTGGTATTTGGCGGAAAGTGACTGTGACCCTGGTGTGGCCTTTTGCTTATTTACTCCCGAGTGTGAATTGGTTCTTTGGTTTTAATTTTATCAATGTGGGACGACGTCCGTAAAGGCGTTTTTTAATGTGTGAACTAACCCTGTGTGTGGTGTCGCCGGTCAGTATTAGTTTAAGCGCAATATCAATGGGTGAATCTGTGCTGTTGGGTTTGATAGACGACGGAGGTGCTCAAAGATGTAATTTATTTAATGACATAAGACTACCGGAAGTGGACGTGCCTTGACAATAAAGCTCATTGCTGTGCTCGTGTTCCATATTTCTGCGTTGCTGCTGTGGAAGATCGGGGTTAGGACATGTGCAGTCGCCCGCAATTTAGTTTTATAAATTTTACTGTCAAGTCTAATGGTTCGGTGATGCAATCGTTTTCACAAAGTAGGGTTTTTACTTTTTTGTAACGAAATCTTTGGGTTACTAAGCGGAAAAATCCTAGAGTAACAGTTTACAACATGGTGAGTCGACAGGTTGATTATCTTAATACTGTCACATCGATGCAGCACATCCTGCAGGATCTGGAAGTATCTTTGGATCGAGTGCGAACGGAGGAAGGTGAGTACTTTGTACTACTTGACTAATAACTTCCCAGTGTGCACAACACTATATCTATATAGGAAAGTTTCGTAAATTGTAATTAGTCAAACGATTCAAACCAGAAAATACAGCAAAATGTGGGTTGAATCGACTGTCGATGTTGGCAATTGTTAAATAAGTACAAGAAGTTGCAGTTTAAGTACTGCGCAAACACTGCATCTGTTGTTGCGTCGTCAAAAGCGCTCATGTTCTAATTTTATGTATTTTTAATAATCAATGTTTCATATGTTATGAACATTAATAACTTATGAACATTATCAATATTATTAACGAATCCAGTTTTATGACGGAACCACGGCTGCGTAATATTGCAAAATAGTCGAGCAGTATAAGCTGGTAATTGTACTTGGAATTAAAGGAGAAGAGTTAAATTTATTTGGATTTTAATTGCCTGTTAGTTTTTTACAAATGCTCTGAAGCGCAATGCATGGACTAAATTGAAGCTTCACAACCAATTCGCCATTAGTCCCACATTTCAGACCTTTTGTGAAAATTGTCAAATAAACTGGAGGAAAACGTTGTACAACAGGAATGGTTGCCCACTGTTCAGTGTTGATTGATATTAAAGAGATCGCATTTATACGAGTATCTAGATTCACTGTGATCTGTGATAGCTTTATTCACGTCAGTTAGTGTTTAACAAACGGCAACGCCTTGCGTTCGCATGATCTAAATGCAAAATCCTTTCCAGATGAAATCTAAATGAAAAACTTTCATTTTCATGTATATGTACCTAATGTTCGTATTACAGAAAACGAATGGAAGATTCGGTACGATGTGCACACAAGGTACAAGCGATGCCTGGAAATGCGAGCCCACCGCTCAGCTGAGCGCATTAAATGTTTACGGGAAGCGCTGCGGGATGGTGGCTTGGAATTTCATCGGGATTACCGGTTAAACACCGAAACATTTGTGCGTCGGCTGGCTGATAATTTGCAAGAAGAGAAGGCGGAAAAACTAGGAGAACTGGAGAAGAAAGAAAGTGTTCTGGAACGGCATGCTAAAGTAAGCATAGTATTAACAATTATAAGTCTGTACTTACGTACAATACAGATCTGTATACAGATCAATCATTCACATGGCTGTAACGAGAAGACGGTGGCGTTATTTTGTAATGAGACTGGGACGTGTAAAACCAGACTTTCATCAGACTATTACCGTCAAAAATCGTACCGGTACGCATTTTTAAATCTTACCGGGAAATTCTAGCTTATTTAAGCCAATCGTGACTAAAATTCAGCACTGTAAACAAAGGTTTTCGATTTGGCTGCTAACCTGCTACCGGCTAATTGTGAACTGGACGGCATTACTGATCGTTTGCACGCAAAGGTCACTCCATAGTCGACTTTGCCCAGACTCTGACGCTACGAGTATAAAAGTCACTTTAAACAGAAGATTCTGCGGATTAAGCTGAGTTTCTACTCGTTTGCACCCCTCTTGCGAGAAAAAACACCACTGCGGACTCGTAAACAGTTCTATAGTGTACGTTTTTGCTTTTGGTGCTCAAAACATTGAACTTCACCGATTTAAACTCAAGATGTGCGCGCAATAACCGGCTGCCGTACTATCATCGGAAAAAGTTTAAAAACTCGGACGCGTCAAATAATTCACCTATCTGTCCGACTCCGACCAAATTTACCATTATGGTAAATCTATATCTTAAGATCATTCTGAACCATTTTGGTGATGATACCTTAAAAAACAAAGATGCAATGAATTTTCGAAAATTTCAAACTCTTATAACTTGGTCAATTTACATCTGAAGAGCTTCATTTTGGTTCAGAATGTGTATGGGAATTTACTCCATGTGATGGAGCGATCAAACTTGGAGTCGGATAAAACACCGAATTATTTGCCCAACATTTGCTATTTTTGAGAAAATGACTTTTTTGTGAACGGTACAGACAAAGCTGGACAGCAGACCTATTCTTGGTGCGAGTGCTGCGCATCCTGTTGTGTCCCGGTCTCTTCGGGTCACGTATTGTTTCAGCTGAGCAGGAATGACTCTCTGACACTCAAGCGCCAGTGGTGAATGGAGACAGAGATGAAAACAGGGCAATAAATTTCAGTGTTCTACCTGATCATTTATGATCGCGCGCGTATCTTCTGGTTCTTAAACAAACATTTGCTGCCGCTGATAATTTCGTGGCTGGTGGTCAGCAAACTTGCCATCCCGCCAGAACAGAGATGTCTTCTCTTCTGCGCAGTATTAGAACCTTGTAAAAGGTTTCTGCTCGATCATAGTTTTTAAAATAGGTAACGGTGTGCAGTTTTTTCATAAAAGCTTGATTCAGATCAGTACGAGTAGATAGAGAAATGCATTCTCTATCGATTCCTGTATAATTTAAAATAGCGTTATGTGAGTAGAAATTCACCTTAAGGCTTAAGCATGGTTTTGGTTTCGAAAATCATCATTCGGAAATCATGATTGAAAGAAAGTATTGCGCTCGAAGCGGAACTAAAATTTAACTATGTCGATGGTAGATTAGAATATCGTACATAATCTCGCAAGTTTCTATACCCTGGCAGGCATCTGTTTTTGGTAGATACTGAAGCGAGAACGAGCTCGTCGAAAGTTGGTGCAATCGGAGCTGGCAGGTTTGCGACTGGGATCCGATAGTCTTTTATGGAGCGACAGCATTCTTCGTCCGAACATAAGTGAAATACTGAAGGAAAAAATGTAGGTTTTGAAAGGTCGCGCGCATGTTTAGTTAAGTATGCTAACCAGTAGTAACTTACGTTACTGCTGTTAAGTAAAGACGCAACGTAGGTTTACTTTACTACCAAAAAGCTTACGTTTTGTGCTACAATTTTGAGATATGATGACACATACAAGCAGTTGAATTGAATCTCGCACCGCTCAAAGCAGAAACCTTGCCTTTGTAGTGACGATGTCGTGGATAAAGTAATGCAGAATGGTGAGGACGATGCGGGTGCAGCTGATGATGGCGAGCAGCGGTTGTCCTCTCGTCTGCCGCGGGACAGATTGCCATTAATTTAACAATATTTTCGGTGCTTTCCTAAGGTCGCTGCAGCTACCGCTCTGCTTAAATGCTGTTCACTAAAATTACTGTGTCCCTCGCTTTAGAAATACTCGTTTCAGTATGCTGCAAATTAGCCTTTAACCTGTTAGCTTTAGCCATTATTATGCCCACTGTTTATCCATCGTAGTAGTTAATTTTGTGAAAGACTGGTGCGCATGTGCAGCGACTTCCCATACCAATTACACCACAATTTTACAGCTTTTATTGGTGTTAAATTGTCTTTGCATGAACCGCTTATACTAACTGTCATCTGTATCTGGAATTCCAGATTCAAACAGACAGATGTTTTGTTTTATTTTGTTTAAGTTTTTTCAGTTTAACTTGTGCATGCTAAGGCCCACACTAATCGACACAATATTGCTATTGTACTTGATATTGTGATCATACTGTAATCGGCTTCGTAAAATTTCTCAAAGCAAGCAGTATTTTGGCCTGCGATTCGTGATCCAATGCACGGAATCGAAAGTGACCATTTGGGCATATTAATCCGAAACGACGGGCGGATGCCGATAGTCCCGTTTTCATCGAACGTGGAACGGAGAACGTAAACTGTGAAGGGTCTTTCTCCGTAATATGCTTTTCTACAAGCTGATCCTGTTAAGCAAAAATAGAATAAAAAAGCAGAATACAAAATTTTTGAAAGGTCACGTAATAATTTGTTTGCCATACCTTTCGGTTCCGATATCGTACAGCGATTTCCGCGGTACCGACCCGAATTTCACACGGTTTCCACTGGGCAAATCGCCATCCGTTCGGTCTAGTCAAATCAATGTCACAAGGAAAGACAACAGCATCCGGATACTGCGGAAGACGCTGCTGGCTGGGACGGACAAGAATTTCCGAGGCGTGCATATCCGTGGCCATTGTGTCTTGAACACTGGAGACGGCCAACGGTTCGGACACACCGGTCGAACTGAACTGATCCGCAATGCTTAATCTCGGTACTTCGGGCACTGTAACGGGTTCGACCAATGGCGATTCAGCTCCGATAGCCGATGCCAGCGATAGTATCGGTTCGGCTAGATTTTCCACGAGAAGTTTCGGAATGACCAACAAATCTTCGATCAACGGAACGGGCGTTTCTTTTTCCACTTCAGCATCACTTTCAAAATTATCTTCAACGGCCGCCAATGCCACATCTTCCAGCATTTCCTTGATTAACCGCTCCACACCGGCGGAGAAGTATTTGGGATCGCTTAATTTACTCGGATCGAGGGATGAATGATACTGACAGGTTCCGCTGCGGCATACTTGATTGATTATTTTCGACTCAGGAAGGTGAATTTCTTCCGCTCCGCGTTCCCCTTCACCAGTGTCGATATCCTGTTTCGATTCCTCAAATCGCGAGGCCAGATTAAAGTCGAAAGTGGGCTCGGATTTTGAGGGTGCAGTCAGGCTGCTAGTCTGCAGCTGCATGAAGGGATTGTCGCTGGGCTGGTCGTGAATGTCTGGGCGTTCCATCAGATACCATAAATAGCGACTGCTGGACTGTTCATCCTTGCCCAGTCCGAATTTTTCCTTCTCGTTTTCGGCACCGGGCTGCACCAGCCCGGTGTCACCGTAGAAATTCAACATCGAACTTTCAGCCGCTGCGGGCATCGTGTAAGGCGCTGGATTCTGGATGAATCCGAGTTTGGCTAAAAGGCGGTGAAATAGTACAGGGTGGGCGGTAACTGGTTGTGCGGTGTCGCCCGTTTTAATGGTTGCTTTGTCCTCGGCAGCGAGGGGTCGCGCCTGAAGGGCATTGTAGGCCACATCGAACCACCGTCGCGCGGATAAGAGTTCCAGTACAATCCAGAAATGGCGCTGCTTGATTATTTGCGGTAAAATGAGTGCTAGACAAGTAATGATGAACGCTAGCCAGATCAGCAGTGCATAGTACACGCTGTTGACTGCGGCTGGCGTGGATAATAACGAGAAAGCATTTGCCGCATCCTTGGCTGTGGGTGGAACCTTAAATTTGACGGGGCGTGGGACTGCCCGAGCGGACATTGTAACGTTTTGTCACGGGAAAAACAATCGCGCGCAATATAATCGAATAGGTGGCAGAATGGTTGCTTAAATGTTCAAGTAAACAAAAACCACAACTTGATTTACTCACTATCAGCGTAATCTGTAACCTGTATCATATTAGTAACTTGGTCATGAAATCAGAAAGAAACTCTTTTTATGGTGAGAAATTCCAAATAAACTATTGATTCGACCCCAAAAAGTAAAGAGAATGCAGAGCCATAAAATTGATGTAATTACTATAGCGCTTTTGGTTTAAACACCTTACAGGGGTAATTATTATAAATTACCCACTTACTAAAATGAGCAATAATTAAATCCTTGCTTACCGATGTTTAAAGCAGCACTCAAAAGTACAGTACACGGGTAATTCTTAAAGCGTTGAGTGAAATTGTTTTGTAGCCGACTGCTGTACGTGTGACGAGCGGTGGTTGGATCTTCCGTAAATTTTTAAAAAGAGGAACCCGTAATTTGAGTACCTGCTGCAGTTTTCGTTGCCATGCAATAAAATGCAGTGACAACGCACTGCTAATTTCCTTGGGGACTTACGTATACCTACTCTAGGTGTATTCTGTACTGCGTCCGTGCTGCTGCTACATGCTTACATGTTTTGTATTATGACAATGAGTGGGCTTTGTTGATACTGGGATTATCGCGTAAATTACTGCACTTAATTTCTTAAACTAATAATTTGTTGACCTAATGCAAGAAATTAAACCGCAAACACATTCATCTGCTTGCAAACAACGCAAAAACATTTAAGTCGGCGCAGCGATCGTTAATATCTCTTGAACCACGTAGATTAGCTGAAAGGTCACACCCCTGGCTTTTGGTACAAACGATCGAGCTAGTAAAGCGCTTATTGCCAGCAGTCTAATACATACTGTATATATACTATGGACTTCAGACACTAATGAATACTTATCTACCTTTTTATTGTTTCTGTTTCATTCTTCTTTCGTAGGCAATTGACTAGACCACTACCTGCAATCTTGCATAAAGTAAAACCATCAATCTAGTCGCGTTTATAATTAAGCGGGATCCGAGACGCTGTTAGCTGATTAATTAATTGCTTACTTATACGATATTACATAAATATTTAACTCGCTGCCTGTAATTAAAAAAAATAAGTGACGGGTGTTGTTCTCACTTGTCAGGCAAACGATCAGTCGAAGCCGGCAAGATACAAGTATCTTTGATTCTATACTCGAGTGTAGGAGAACCCGGAAAGAGATGGACTGGCTACCCCACCATTTGCCGAGGTGTCTGCTGAGACCTCAGCCGATCTCCTGTTGTAATAATGGGACTGTTTATAAGCAACGAACGACTTACAGTTTAACAGTTGAACAAAATTAAAATAGTAACGTGAGCCTGGCGAGAATAACTCATGACAATGCGGGAATAACGCGAAAACCACATTCGTGGACTAGCCACCAGACGCACCATCGCTGCAGTTACTTGCCAAATTCGACGCTTGAGGCTCAGGCTTGTGCCTGTGGCTATATAGTACATACAGTACGTGCGTTGCACAATCTTCGTGCAGATCATAAGATACGGTATCGGGTATCAACAAAATTCGATAAATCGGAAAATCCTCCTAATTTTGATCCTATCCAGATTTTTAGCGATTCCATTTTTTCAGTTGCTTCCCGTTTTGCTTGCTTTGTTAGAGTATGCAGTAGATTTCCATTCGGTTAATATTTTTTCTGTGCATGCTGATGTGACTACTGATGTCTTTGGCCGATATGATTGGCATATGAATACTGAATAGTGCTTCTCAACGATCTCTTTCGGGATTTTGAGCTTGGTCCTTGGATAAATATTAGGAATATTCCCCCGACGGATTCTGTACAGGGCACTGTTATTGGGCATTGTAAATACCGAGACTTTACGCCAGGTATTGCGACTCTTGTCTGCCGTTTTCGCTGTTGTTTGATATCGCCATAATATCGGTGATACAAACAGATCGACGAACCCGTGTCTGTATAGTGCGTTTCACACATGTTTAGAGGCTGTCAATCGTGTATTTTGATTATCCCGTATTCCGACTGCCTGCATAATCGAACAAGACGTGTGGATGCCTGTGTTTAGCCGTACTCGGGTGGTGCCACTGCCATGCCGTGGAGACGCGATCGCTCCCACGAAGTGAAAGACCCCGAAAGCTACGTCAAACTGCCGCTGCACGCCGAGCGATGGGGCGAGCTCTTCGACACGCTGGACAAAGACAAGAATGGCCGCATCAACGCCAAGGATATCATGGAGGTCTTCCGGCACATTCCGGAGGAGAGCATCAAAGTAGGTTGCCTGGGTGGTTGGGCCGTGCGTTTCGTAAGCGTAATCGACGGGGCAAAGTTTATTTAACACGGCGCGTTGCTGTTCAAATAGGAATCGATAGAGAATGCCGATATCGACGATTCGGGCAATTTGGATTTTGTGGAGTTCGTTAATTACGTTCTCAGTCATGAGAAAAAATTAGCGGTTGTGTTTGGAAAATTGGACCAAAATAAAGACGGTAAGCAAATCACTCAAACGCAAATTATTAAAAGACGTACAAACTTATCTGGTACCATAAACTCAGCACAGGAAGTATTTTTGTATATAACTGATCATAGAAAAAAGCATGATACTAGATTCCGGAAAATTTATATGTTATTAAAAGGCTGTGTCGTCGATGTTAAGTTATGCGTGACTTCGTCATTATTCAGCGGTTTATTTTGAATGTAAATGCACTCCGATATATTGTAGGTGCTATGTACTAGACGCGGCACGTGATAAACAGATGTTTCGATTGTATTTTTATGCCGTAATAATTTGTGCCTTATCATTTTGTCGTACTACTTTCCAGGTAAACTGGACCGCACGGAAGTCGTTAATTCGTTTCAAAAGTTTGGTATAAATATTACACCAAAGGAAGCAGAGCGCTTATTAAAGCGATTAGATTCAGATGGATCGTTGGCCGTTTCGTTCGACGAATTTCGTGACTTCTTCCTTTGGTATCCCAGCATCACCATCCAAGATTTGTTTGGATACTGGAGACATGGTGCCACGGTCAGTGATTTCGTTGTCACAGGATGGGAGTCTTCCTTGATGATCGGCTTTTTCCATTTACAGTATCTGGACCTGGGTGAAGATGCACTGGTCCCGACAGATTTCACTAAAAAAGAGATGGTGACTGGAATGTGGTGGAGGCATTTAGTGGCCGGCGGTGTAGCGGGGTGTGTCAGCCGGACATGCACAGCACCGCTGGACAGAATAAAAACGTTCTTCCAGGTACAGTGAAAAAATTGTTGGCTAAGTAAATTTAGTAAATATAATTTCTGTTTAGTCTGTGATACGGAAAAGATAATTCGAAAAATAACGAAATAAATTATCCCAGTGAACAAAAACTAGTGTATAAATTGCGCGAATCGGTAAGCAATAAAGGACTGTTGGCGAGCTGACCAAAACAGTGTTTAAATTTTATTTTTGATGTTTAAAATTTCATAATTTTAATTATTTTAAATATGCGCAAGCGTATTGATCTGTGCACTGGCTGTTGCCAAATAAAATGGTCAATATTTCTCTAACTTATAATTTATTATTGTGCATTCCATTATTTATTGTACACTTCTATTCTACTTTGAACACCCCAGTAATAGAATTATACGTTTCTGTACGATTGTCCACATTCTGGTTTATGGAGTTTTCTGCATCTATCCACCTTTCAGACAATTTAATTTATTGGTGTGCTGGCAGGTTTATGGCAGAAGCGGGCAGTGCGAATCTCTGCTAAAATGTTTCTTTTCCATGCTGAAAGAGGGCGGTTACTGGTCGTTGTGGCGCGGCAACGGAATGAACGTTTTGAAAATCGCCCCGGAATCAGCAATAAAATTTGCTTCCTACGAACAAATGAAGAAAATAATTAAAGGAAAATCCGAAAGAGAGTTGTACCTATCTGAGCGGATCCTTGCCGGCTCGATGGCCGGTGCTATGTCCCAATCAGCCATTTATCCCATGGAAGTAATTAAGACCCGGTTGACGCTAGGAACCACTGGGCAGTTCGATGGGATTTTCCATGCAGCACGGCGAATCTTAAAAAATGAAGGCCTAAGTGCATTTTATCGGGGTTATGCACCAAATCTGGCAGGAATTTTGCCTTATGCAGGCATCGATCTAGCGGTCTACGAAGTAAGCTGTGCAGTCAGTCTTTATTCTGACAAACCTGATCACCAATGAGCTGGTTGTAGAGTTTGAAAAGATGGTACCTGAGGCGGCATCTCCCATCAAAAGACGCACAGCCTCCAGCACTAGTCGTTCTTGCTTGTGGTATGGTGTCAAGCGTGTGCGGCCAGGTTTCCAGTTATCCATTGGCTCTGGTGAAAACGCGACTGCAGGCGTATGGTGAGTGTCTGTGAATGGTATCATATCTGTACACTCACGGTAGGAAATATTTTTCTAATTTTTGATCGGCTTAGTTTTCGTATTAACGCATTTACTTTACCGAAGCTGAGCTGGTCAAATATGTATCAGAGTATTGCATTGCTTGCAGATATATGAGAAAATATTTTGGTTTATATGCCGTTTGCAGTTATTTTTCGCAGGTCTCAACGTGACAACTTTTTTCATAGATGGTCCGGTGTTCGGTGCAGAAAACGGCACAATAGCTGTGATCAAGAATATCGTGAATACTGAAGGCATTCCTGGGCTGTATCGGGGTATGGGACCTAACTTCCTGAAAGCCGTGCCAGCGGTCAGCATCAGCTACGTCGTGTACGAACACGTCAGGGAAGCACTCGGAGGCCATATGACCTAAACCAGCGTTGGTAAGGCTTTGCTTTGAATCTCTTCTGTCTACTTTATCTAACGCATGCCGCATAACTGAGGCATACATACCATGGGGAAACTGTATGAAAATGTGAATGTCTTTAATTTGTTTAACGATGCTATTTGAGGTTACCTCCTTAGTTTTCTCACAGCGTATCTTTTCAGGGAGCATTTTGATACAACGATCAGCTGGAGGAGATTCCAGTAATGCCACTGTGCATGATACACAGAGGCTTTCTTGGCTCTTCCGGTTATTTGAAATCCTGCGTAGTGCGGTTGCCTTATACTGCCGCTGTCTCTGAGCCGCGGTCGGTGTCAATAATCGCGGGAGTTTGTTTCGGTTTTTTGCACAATCTGTGATGTGGGTTTTGCTAGAGTAAATTAATGAAATGTGCTGTTGATGTTGTAATGCCTGCATTATTTTGTCTGATGTGTTCAGTCTGAACCTTTATCTTTTAGGAGTAAGTGATTTTCCCCAGTTTTTTCCGACATGTTGCTTGTTTTGTCCCGATGGGCCTGTGATGAGAAGGTGAATATTCTAAAGGCATTAAAAACCGCTCCAACTGCGGACCAGTTATTGGTGTGACAGTTGGGCGGTGGTGTTGGTAAAATTTTTCTGTGAGCGCAGAGATTATAGAAAACAGGACACATTTGCTATTTATTGCTAAGCACTTGCTTTTTGGCAACGTTGGCCAGTGGCCGCTGTGTTTCCAAGTACAGCAGGTCTTTGAAGACACTAAATAGAGATTGGGTTCATCAAGTAGGGCTGTAGGAGGAAAACTGCCATGCGGTCTGGTGCTTTATGCAGTAGAACAGCGTTATTTAAGTTTACAACATTTTAGGACAAAAAGAAGAAGAACGATGCAGAGGTTACGGCGGGCGGCAGTTAGGTTACTGAGGTGATTTGCAAGTTTTGTGCAGGGTTTTTTTCGTGACGATTTGTGCTGTCCGCTCTCAAAATGAAGTAAATTAAATCTGAACTGTGCAAAGTTTTTGTGGCTTCTCTTTTTGAAGTTGCGCTCTCAGTTTGAGAATTGGATTATAAAGAATCTTTTAAGCGGCACGAGAAGTTCTGTTGAGTAAACATATTTTGAGAAATGGATCCTGTAGCAGAGGTAAGACTGGCTGATCACGAACTGCTTGCGATTTGTTTTAGTCGCAATTCTAGTGTGCATTTGCGTTTTTGGCCAGTCGCGATTGGATGTGGACGAGTTAAAGCAGCTCTTCGAGAAGGCTTCGCGACCTTTTGTGAAAAACCTTCTCACTGCGGAAATTAGCAAGCTGGAGAACGACATTAATCGTCGTGCGGGGCAGGGACCGAAAAAAGCGGTCTCTGCGGCGCCAGCGACCAGTCGGACCAAGATCAGCTTGTACGGTGCGTCAAAATGACCCCATGCCCCTCTCCCTACTCCGCTATTAGCAGTATTGCAGAATACTTGCAATTATTATTATTTTTGTGTGCTTAGGATGGGATCAGTCCGACAAATTCCTTACTTTGTACATCAGCGATAAATTGAAGGATATTAAGGGGATTCCGGCTGAAAATGTCACATCGTCGTTCTCAGAACGGTTCGTAAATCCGCTTTCGTCATTATGCGCTCCCAGAAGCATTTTTCTTGAACAGAAAAATCTCAGTTTTTTTAATTTCTTCTTAAAACTTGCTGGTTTTAGGGGCGCTCACATGGAAGTGAAGGGTCTGAACGGGCGCGATTATTATTTCGATTTAGCCAACTTGGCCTACGCAATTATCCCCGAGGAATCTACTCACAAACTGCGCGGCGATTCTGTGGTGCTGAATCTGCGGAAAAAAGAATCCAAAACATGGGAATGCGTTACCGCGGCGGAGAAGCAGCGGAAAGACAAAAAGGCGTACGATAGAGATATTAATCGCCAAAATGTTCCGGTGTTTATATGCTGACAGTCCTTTACTCGGGTTGTTCGTTGTTGATTGTACTGTAGACAAGAAAAATTTGACATGGATTCGGATGCCAAATCGGATCCTTCCGCTAGCATGATGACTATGATGAAAAAGGTGTGTTACGTGTAATTTTGTATCAAAATGTGTCCGCATGAGTGATATAAATTATAACCCATTGCGATTGGGTTTAACGTGTTAATGGTACTGAAAAGCGGTGCTCGTTAAATACGAAAATGCTTACATTGCCCTGATTTTCTTAATTCTGTCATTTCATTTACTTTGTATAATAACCTTCAAAATATTGATAAATCATCAGAGTCTACACTGAGGTCTCAAAAAAAAACTCTGCAAAATATGTGATATATTGTCTGATCTTGCCGATTTTTGTTTGCAGATGTACGAGGAAGGAGATGATGATATGAAACGGACCATCAGCAAAGCATGGTTTGAAGCGTCTCAAAAGCAGAATAAGGGAATGAAACCGGAGTCGTTCGGAATGTGATGGCGATTTTTCCTTCTTTTCATGATGATTTGGTTTCGGAAATTTAATTTGTCCGTATTCGCCTTTTGTTCCAGTTTAGACTACTTGTGTCGAACATCTCTTCTGCTCGATGTTTATGAATGAACTTTCTATATGTCTGGCTGCGGTTTCAGATTTTCTAAAATTTTGGGAGACGAAGATTTATTAAAACCGCATACTCGTACTAACAATACGATTGCAAAGGACTACACGGGGCTTTCCTACACTTTTGCCAAACAGTACTTTATAAATTCGATGCGCACGGCATCTTCGAACAGTGACTAAACGAGACCCCCATCGACCTCGGGACTTTTTTTTAGAGCAAATCTGACCTCGGGATAATTTTCAGCGCATTTTTCTGATATAGAAACCATTTTTCAAAATTTTTTTTGAAAGAAAAAATTTCTGACTGCCGGGCCCCCATACGCCCCCCAATAACCTTGGGCGGCTGCAATGACGCCACTAACAAAACTCTTATTTTAGCATTTCGAACACTTTTTCTAGGTGAATCGATGTCGCTGATCCTGAATATGTTGTTAGAAAAATTGTTTGAGCCAAAGGAAAGAAAAATTTTTGATAAAAACAAAATTTTGCAAAATTTTCCTAAAACTTTTAAAATGAAAAAATCTTTCTTCAAATAACTCATACAATTTTTCTGACAGCATATTCAGAATCAGCGACATCGATTCACCTAGAAAACGTGTTCAAAATGCAAAAATAAGAGTTTTGTTAGTGGCGTCATTGCAGCCGCCCAAGGTTATTGGGGGGCGTATGGGGGCCCGGCAGTCAGAAATTTTTTTCTTTCAAAAAAAATTTTGAAAAATGGTTTCTATATCAGAAAAATGCGCTGAAAATTATCCCGAGGTCAGATTTGCTCTAAAAAAAAGTCCCGAGGTCGATGGGGGTCTCGTTTAGTCACTGTCTTCGAATAATAATTCAGCGAGCATCGAAAAACAGAAAACTAAAAAGCGGAGTATTTCTATAGAATTTGACAGATAATCCCATGAGCAATGGAAACGGGAATCAGATCAACAGAACAGTTGATAATCAACAGGAAAAACAATTGATTAACCCAATGCATCATTGAACCGCAACAATTTCTATTCAGAGTTATGGTCACTACTGTAATCATTCCTAATTTCCTACTTACGGTTAGTGCCGTTGAGCGTTATGTAGCAAAAAAAAACAGTGAACCATCTAGTTGAACGTACTCATTTCTATCTACAAGAGAAAAAAATAAACTACTAGAAGGCGCATTTCCACAAGGTACTTCCGTCGTTATTTTCCAGCAGGAATAGTTTCTTAATCCATATCCTGCATTGACCTGCAATACTTGAAGAAATCTGCATCTGGTTTCTCCATAGCTCGCCAGAACTTCAGTTATTGTTTTGACGTTTGAAATTCTGTATGCTCGCAAAAGAGGTTGCATGAAACGCCCGAAATTCCTCGGGAATGGTTGGGTCACCTTGAAGCAACAATCCCAATGTTGCATTGCAACTTTCTGCTAGACCGAAATCTCCACCTGCAAGAAGGAGGCGGACCTTTCGACGATACAGTTTGATACGTTCTAAAACGGGCTGTTCTGGGAATTCAGTCAGCACCAGCACATAAGCCGCCTCACGCCAATTCTGTTCGTCTTCCAATACATCGGCCAGAAGTAGTTGTAGTTTGAACATTTGTTCCTTGAATGCACTCGTGCTTTTACTAAGCGCATATTTAAGCACTGATTTTCGTGTTTCCGCATCCAAATCATACACGGAAGTCGCGAATTCTTCGAGATACTGCCGCGCTGAGATAACATTGAATGATTCCCGGAGGATTGTGTTTAAGAAATGCTCCAGGCATTCCTCTTTGGCATGGTTATCGGGCAGTCCGCGGATCAAATCCATCACCTTCGCAAACTGCTCCGTTAAATCACAGGGCTTCCCTAACGAAACAATTAGACGATCCATCGAGCTCTATAAAAAAAATAATAATAGACCAAAGCCTGAAAACAGTAAAAATTAAACAGTTGCATGAATTGCGTCATACCTTAGCAACTTCGACGAGGTGCTTGTGTTTCAAGTGCTGAAGCGAACTGCGGATCTCTTCGGAAGCGGCGCTATCAATGAGCAGGCCCAAACGGTGGATGTAGTTCTCCGCTTCCGTGAACTCCTCAGCCTCCAGGAACAGGCGCCCAATTTGTAAATACAAATCCATCTTATTCTCCTTGGTATACTGCTTCTGTCCACTCTCCAGCGGGATCTGTGACAGCACACGGGCCGCCTGCAACCAGTTCTGTTCGCGCTCCAACTCGGCGGCCAAGCGCAGTCGCAGCGGATACATCTGCTCCTCGAAAGAGATGGAGCGCGACTGCATTTTGTCCAAGGCATAACTGATGACCATCTTTTGCATCTCCGCGTCGAGATCATTCACTCCCGTTACAAATTCGTTCAGGTACTGCCGTGCCGAGACGATGTTGAAGGATTCGCGCAGAATCACGTCCAGGAAGGATTTCAGGCATTCACCTTTAACATCGCTGCTCGGCAGCTAGCGGACTACGTCCATCAATGCACGGCCCTGTTCGCCGGACTCACGAAACGTTCCCTGGCCGCTTCCTATCTGGTTCAGAATTTCCTTGAAAACCTGCACTTGCTCCATGACGGCTCAGGAGACAAATGTCATAAATCGAATAAGAAGCAAACACAATTTTCAGTGCCGATTTTGTAATCTACGTCAAACCGCGAATCATACGCTAATCTTCTACACCAGAAACTAAAGTAATAATTAATGAAAAGTGCACAGATTGCAGGAAAACAGAAATGAAGCCAACAAACCTTCGGAACTTTCAGTTGCATGGTTTTTCAGGGTCGGTTCGGTTGGCTTTGACGGAAAAGTGAACAACACTGTCGGTCTCCCAATTGAGCGGCAGTCACAAAGCAAACGGCCAGGAATGCGGTACTGGTTATATGAATACGAGTACTACTACTGTATGTCTGTAGTCCATATTGTACTACATGCTACATGAACGCATGTTATGAAAAACATAATTATGTATATCTATCAACCTTTATTGAGTTCCGCTTGCTGTTACGCGGCAAAAAACCCCTATTACAAATTAGGGGAAAAGGCACGCATAACCTATTCTTTTTTAAAGTTTTGTAAACAAAACTCGCGCAACCGAAGCATCAATAAGGTAAAAGACCGCTTGCTCTCCTCTACTTTGCACATGAATCTTATTTTTTGGTAATTTTAAAGAAGGAATTAGAGAGTATAGAGATTATAGTAAATATATAGGGAAAGGACGATCACAATACAAATATGCGGGGTGAAACCAGGGTGCACAGTAAAACACTAAATTTGGACAGAAAATCGGAAATGTTCTAACCAGCAACTGGATAAAATTGCTTGCAACACCAATAACTATTCTTATTTCGGTCGCTGTGTAGTCAGTCTCGCACAAAAAATATATAATTATATGAGGTACTGTACATACTATTTTTCGCAAATTATATACTTCTGAGATATGAATAATTTAAGACGACAGGCAGACGTAGTACATTTTGTATGGCCTTACAACGTTATTTTCTTTAAAACAACAGCTTGAAGCTAATCGGATCGATTGGACTTCCGGTCATGGCGCAGCACCCCGAAAATAAGATAGGTACGCAAGCAGGATAAGGTCACATATGCGGTTTTAAAATTAATATTACAGAAAAATCGAATTGTAACCACTTGTCATTTGAGAAAGATTACCAAGAAACGTTTTGTTAGGCACAAAACTGTATCGGCATTTTTCGTTCTTTTTCTATCGACATGGTGTAATTTACCGCGGTTGATAAACAAGTTGCCCATTTGAACCGAACCCGCAATCTGAAAGCATGTCTACCACGTTATTCATAAGCAGCGACATTCCTGAAAGGTTCGTCCGATAATATTGTTACGCAGAGTCAGATAGCAGGAAATGGACCAAGTATGGCGATTTCCTTACAAACCCAGATTAGTCAAATGCAGCAGCCCGTACAAACAATCCGAGTCATATGTTACCGCAGCGTTCTGCCATCCGCATTCGGCATAGCAACTGTTTCCGTCTCCGATTGCGGTACTCCATCAGAGCAGTGCCAGGTAGCTTTCGAAACATTTGGTATCAATTTCAAAAATACCCTCTTCGACACAATCGGATAAGAGGACCAATATGTTTATTTATTTAGTGTCCAACCGGTACTGTGCCGTATTCTACCGTGTCTGGGATTCCAACCGGATGCAGCTGCGTAATTCTATGCCAAAATGTCTTTCCCTGACGGAGTATCACACGCGCCTACATCGGTGATAAACAGTGTCGACAGTGATTTTGCGGTGTCACCAGTAAATACTGTTGGACATGGTGAGGATGCGGCCAGGGAAAACTACGAAAGAAAAGATGTGGAAAGTGAGCGGGAATTGGATCCGTTTGCGCACGCTGACCTCGGTGAAGACAGGAGAAATGCACAAACCACCACGACGTAAGTACGCGGTTTGCATGTCCGTAGCAGGATAATCCATTCCTTAAATCCCCAAAGACTTTAAAATTTCATAGGCTAAATCGTTTTAAAAATTAATTTGAATTATCAGCTGCTACAGATCTTTTACTTCGTCGACACTTACAAAGAACTTACAATTCATACTCGTAGTGTTTTTTTACCACTGGCAATCGTGATGTCCTTCCATGTTTACAACTTGTAGAAATCTTCAAACCCTCATGCACTTGCTCAAAGGAAACATCGGGACCGGCATATTTGCCATGGCAAGCGCAGTGAACAACGCAGGCTTGGCGGTATGTGTTGTATAAGGTGGCGAGAAAAAGAATTAGCCCGCTTTGCCAGTTTGTACAGTTGTAACGATTTTTTATATTGTCTTCAACGATTTTTTATGTTTGGATTCCAGACGGGAACGATTGCCATTGTTGTGATGGGATTTATTTGTTAGTGTTTATACGAATAGACAACGAATCTTTTGTTTCCTTTTTGAGTGCTCGCTACACAAAGTACGAGTAGTAATTTTTATTCTCGATATACCTTACATTGCGGTTGAACTGGAAATACATTATTACTGATTTTAATGCATATATGATATGTTCTACAATTTTTATGGGTTTTCCCAGGTATTCATTGTATGCACATTCTTGTGAACTGTGCCCACCATCTCTGCAAAGTGTGAGTGATAAGATATTAATTGTCACTGTTTAAATCGAATTGTTACAAACACATTGCACGTGATAGCGACTTTGTTGTAAATTACACTGCTTTTTGCAGCTGCAGTCAATGCCATTGCATCTGTGTTTTATTTCTTCAGAGAAGGAAAAAACGCTTTGGATTACGGGGAAGTTGTTCAGGCGGCATTCAGACAAAGCTCATACAGTAAATACGCAAATCTCTCCAAGTAGGTATTTCGAATTCCAGTTGCTTGTCGGCTGACTAACAATAAGAAGAATACGAAGCCAAAACTTGATATTAGCCGGGAGTGCAAGAAATCTCTTCGTTGCAGAAAAGTTGTGGATCTGTTTATAATTGTATCGCAGTTTGGATTCTGCTGCGTTTACATCGTTTACGTCGCCACGACGCTACAAGATGTATGTATTTTTAGTTTCACATATTTATATGTGCAATATGATTACGTAAACAATTATCTTATATATATTTGCATAATTAGAGTAGATAACAAATTGTGGAATCACCTTATATAATTGCACACATTATGCTGTTTATTCTATTGGATTTAATTAGAGGTGTACGCATGCGTTGAACCAATTTGAATGCAATAGAAACTACGTAGGTAACCCGTCAAACTTTATGCATTCCAGGTAATTCGCTACTATACGGACGTTGAGCTGCCGATACAGGCGTACACAGCTATGGTACTTCCCTTCTTGATTCTGCTTTGTTACATTCGGAGCCTAAAGATTCTAGCGCCCTTTTCCTTGGCAGCCAATCTCATCTTATGCACCTGTCTGGTGATAATTTTTGTTTACGTTTTTGGCCATTTAAAATCAGTTGACTCGGTACCACAATTTGCCGGATGGTCGAAATTGCCGCTGTTTTTTGGGACTGCAATATACGCTTTTGAAGGTATGGTATTTGTTATTTGTTAACAATGACTGTTCCAGTGACTCGTAATTATAACATAACATGTCATAACTCAGGGATTGGAATTGTCCTGCCAATCGAAAATCGAATGAAAAATCCACAGGATTTTGGAGGGTGGACAGGAATTCTTAATGTCGGGATGGTGATTATCACTGCACTGTACACCGCTGCTGGCTTTTTTGGCTACCTTGCATTTGGTACCGAAATAGAAGACACCATTACTCTAAATTTGCCGCATAAAGGGTGAGTATTAGACAAAATTACTACAAGATCTAGTTACGATTTCGGATTACTGCTACGTATCTGTACACCATTGCCATATAATTTTTTTGGTATTTTTTGCAATATAATTATTATTACTTTGCCATGTACTTACTTATTTTTATTGAAGCAATAACATGCAACTTGAAATGTCTACCGGAAAATATATCGCTACTGGACAATTTTTCGTATCGAAAATACACAGACTGCGGACTATAATTGCACACCCACCTTTCGATCTGATTTATAGCTTCAGATCGCACATCAGTAACATCGTTAATTCATCATGACTTGATACTCTGATATACGGTAATGTTAATGCCATTTTTAGGATATATATTGTGGTTATCCTTCTGGTCGGTCTCGTCGTTTTTTATTCCTATTCCCTTCAGGTAACTTTGTAAACCACTCGTTAAAATGCTTTGCTGGAGATTGATACTTTCTTGCTGTCAAGCGCTATTGTATTTGTGTGTCTGCAGTACTACATATCTATATTATGCTTTATTTTCATATTTGTTTTGCAGTTCTACGTCCCTTTTGAAATTTTGTGGCCAACAGTGAAGAAGCGTCTGAGGACGCCTCTCCAAGTGAAGATCGGTGAATATTTATTTCGCACCGGCATTGTGATATTTACGTGTAAGTTTTTCACGAACACTATTGTGACCGTATATATACTTATGTACTTAAAATTTCATCATGTGCATGCTGACTCTTACTAATTTTAGTTCTTCTTGCCGTTGCTATTCCTAAACTGGGATTATTCATCTCCCTTGTGGGAGCAGTGGGAAGTAGTTCCCTTGCACTTATATTTCCACCGGTCTTAGAAACTGTCACCTACGGTTGGCAGAATCAAGGCAAGCTGCACTGGAAGTTGATAAAGAACGCCGCCATATTTATATTTGGAATTCTTGGTTTTGTTACCGGGACCTATGTAGCCATTTTAGAAATCGTTTTGTCATTCGAGAAAGATGCTAGAGATAGCGCGACTACTACCGCAATTCCTACTCAGGCAGTACATGTCCAATACCTTTCGTGATAAAAATACGTATTTTATTTGGATGTTTTTATTTTTTACTTGTTGTAATGCTCATTTAAACACTGTGATCAATCCTGGCAAGTCCTTTATGTACGCCACACTAATTAAACGGGCACAATAATTTACTATAATAACGCAAACCTTAATCGAAATTAAATTAAAACATGAAATGCGCAGCACACTGAGATCCTAAACAGTTGTAAATTACTGTACAGTTTTTGCATGCGACAGCTGCAAAGCTGCATAATAAAATATACGATGTAAAAAAACCACAATAAGTGCTAAAGCAAATTTTATTATGCTGAAGAGCATAACAAATTTTTCATATGTATGTACTTTACAATAAATTCCAGTAAGATGGGGCCGCTTGACCACTGCTTGTTTGTAGTACGATCGTACTGGGCCTTACGCAAAATAAATGCAGCAGCACGCGCAATACAGGCTTGAAAGCAGCTGTTTTTCTGGTATTGTAAGGCTGACCACTTAATGCCGGTTATTCCACAACATGAGCAATGTTAGCCGCACCATTGTTTCCTGCGCTGCATATTTATTTAGTTTATTTGTTAATGAGCAACGAGTAAATGAAAATGGCACTGCTACCTCTGTGTATCCTCTGCTACCTCTGTCTATAATATCCTTCGTGATAAAAAGTCTATGGATAGCAGTTTTGTAGGCGGCCGTAACATGTGCTGCATTTAACTTATGCCCGTTTGAAGTGCTTGAGTTTACCCAATTAACATATTCGTTCGTACAAAGTTTTGCTGGATAAACTTAGTTGAAATTGATTTACTTATTTATGAGCGGCACAACTAAAATGGTACCGCTGGATGTCGTAAAGTGGTTTAGGATGATCTGTTGTGGTTTCGCGTCCTTCCCAGTACTCATATTTGGAACGACCTTTAGGCAGTCATACGATGCCACATTTTGTATTGGACAAAGCAATGGTCTCTACGCCGATCCGGTAAACCAATTGTTGTAACAAACTATTTCCCATTATACTAGATTTATATGACGAGCCCGCTAAAATTCTTACTAATAATGCTAGAGCGACTGTGCAGCTTTCTACAGCTGCTTCAGCGATAAGACCTTCCACTTCTCCTGTCCACCGGGATTACGCTTTGACTTTGAGCTGCAAGTCTGCACCTGGAAAGCGAAATGTGTTACCGCTTTAGGTTAGAAGCCAAAGCGTGCGTTTTTTCTAAAAGGCTATTGCTGTGACGGTAATATCGTTTGTTCTGAAGGGCCGCAGAATAAAACCACTCCTTCACCGGTTCCGCATCCGGAACATGCTGCCACAGCCGCAGCAGAACTGGTGCAGTGCACGAGTTTGGATGATGTGCGCTGTGCGGACGGTTCCACGTGCATCGCACGGTACGTATTAAAGCATAAAATGCACCATTAAGTCTTATATACTGTAAATCGTTTTCTTACCAATTTTAATTTGGTAATTCAAATTAAAATTTTTTAGTGCTTTGGTTCCATAGCCTAAAGTGCACTTTAAATGAAATTGTAAAGATAAACGCCAACGCGCATTTTTTCCGAACGTATCATTATTTGAGATACTGACAAATTTTCTGTTATACATCTGTTCGCTTGATCAGAAGTTATACCGGCTTTTGTTTATTGCAGAACAAAAGTATGCGATACTGTGCGTGACTGTCCAGAAGGTGGCACGGATGAATACGGCTGTGGTAAACATATATACTCGTATTTCAGTAATTTACGATTTATTTAGTCTAAATGTGTTTTTCACATTCAGTTTGCTATGTCTGCTCACAAATCAGTAATTTTGCCATGTTGTTGGTTCTTGCGATGATGCATCCCATTTTTATACTCGCCCTTTTATTTCTGTATTTAGATGTCAAAGCCGACCAGTTTGCCAGCCAGCCGTGCAAAAAGGAAAACTGCGTCCTGCCCAGCTGCTTCTGCAGCGCAGATGGCACCCAAATACCAAACAATCTTCAGATGAATCAAGTTCCACAGGTAATCCAAATAAAGGCATCGGCAGACTGCAGAAACCCCAAAGCAAAACAAAAATTAACACGAGGCGCTGGTATCACAATAATCATTCCAGCCTTACACAGATGATTGTGCTGGCATTTTTGGGAGCCGTTAACATTCAGAACTATGACCTTACTCGTGCCCTCTTCCTTCCAACTCGTCTAAATCCCAACCAATGTCCGGTGCGTGGCACATTCTTCGTCTCGCACGAATACTCGGACTATTCGCAGATTGAACGGCTCTTCCGCAGTGGACATGAGATCGCACTCAGCACCATAAGGCAAGTGAAACCGAATATCCAAATTTAAGAAAAACCGAACATGTATACAGAACCTTTAATCGTAGCGTTCAGGGGTCGTCAAACACGGAGTGAAATGCAATACTATCTTTTAATTTATGCAAGATAGATGTAATTTTTGGTAGTGAACTAAAAGAAATTACTACTGTTACAGTCGAGATCGAGAAAATCAGTTTTGGTGGACCTCTGTATCCAGCTACAAAGACTGGGGCATGGAACTGCAAGGCCAGCGAGAAATCCTGAACAATTTCGCCCATATTCCGTTGACGGAAGTACGCGGAGCACAGGCACCCAGTCTGCATTTAGGCGGCAACACGCAGTTTGCGGCTATGCAGGATTTCGGCTTCGAATGGGACAGCTCGGTACATTTTGCAGTAGGCAGCAATTTGTTTAAGTTAGAAGTTAGAACTGACCTATATAAGCACTGCTGTTTTGTTTAATAATTTCGGCTGTAAACTAACTACTTTATTAAAAAATTTTATTTTCGCATGTGCTTAGATAACAGTACCGTCAGCCGGGCGACCTGTTTGGCCGTATAAATTAGCCTATTCGGTGCCGCACAAGTGCCATCAATCCGGCTGTCCGACAAGGCCGTATAACTTGTGGGAAATACCCATCAACCAGCTAGTGGACGCTCAAGGATTCGGATGCTCATCGCTTGGATCGTGCCGAAATGATGAATTTAAATCTTCGGACGAAGTATGTGATACAAATCCAAGGTCGCGATACGTAATTTGCGAATTCACTAATGAGCTGATATAGAAGGTTACAAAGGAGAATGCAATTCAAAAATTATGAACCAAAATAAAATGTGCTAATAGCTGTAAAATTAAGCATGTATTATATTTTCTGTGTATTGCATGATAAAATCTTCAGAGTCATTCTATGTTATACAGGTTTTGCAGTGGCTGTTGAAGAGATTCTACCGGTAGGTCGTTCTGCAATTTCCGTCTGATATCCGTTGCACATACGCCATCTCCAATGGAATTTCTTATATCGTCCTCAAATTGTCGAAACGAATTGTATACTTATATGTTTAATTCACAGGAATTATCATGACAACCGCGCACCGCTGGTGTTGCTCATCGATCACAACTGGATGCAGGACAACTTCGATGCCCTTTCGCGGTTCATCGAAACGGTCATTACAAAGCCGGAGCAGGACACCTTTTTCGTCACATATCACCAACTCGTACAATGGCTGCAAACGCCGACCACGTTAGATCTCATGGCGGAGTTCACAGCCTGGGCGTGCGATGAAGAAGCCACTCCGAATGTGTGTGAACCTATAGAGTGTGACCTTCCCTTTGTCCACGGTGGAAGTCGACGCTTCCGCGCCTGCATGGCGGCGTGTCCGGCTTCGTTTCCGTGGAAAGACAACGTCGACGGCAGACGGAGTGTTGACTCTTCAGCCAAAAAATATGTCGAAACTACTGCAGCCCAGTCCACAACAACAACCGCAGCACCGTGAATTCTTCACTATAGGTTAAACAACGTCATAATTTACCGAGTTTTTGTTTTTTTAATACACGAAATTAACTAGACCTGGTGTTGTACGCCTGCATTGTGACATAGCCATGTAGAATATGTTCTGTCTTTGCTTTTAGTAGTTTATTTTTTATCGTGACTGTTAGTAACTATACCGGCGGGAAAATCGGAGTCCATCCTAACAGTTAAAATGAGGGGTACTCAATTTCATAATCCGTGACATACTGAGTGAGCTTTTGTAACACCTAAGATAACATTATAACGACAGTATCCGTCACAAGAAAATCCGTACAACTTTTTAATCTGAAAGTTTCACATAAAATAAAGTTATAGGTGCATACAGCAATACATCCGTGAAACGATAAAAAAAGCGCATGCACAAAAAAATATGGTTCTAAACGGAAGGCACGGATATGTCTTTCGCAAACAGTCGATCTGCCAATACTTATTAAAGCGTATACATGTAATGATAGATCTGGAATATCTCCTTTTGACTTCTTCGACTATGGAAGAAAGGTTATTCATGTCCAAGGATACAACCATCATCCGGCAACACTTTGTAGGGATTCAAAATTCCTTTAGGATCGAATAGTTGTTTCATCTTTTTCATGACACTCACCGCTGCCGGGGACTGACTGTAATGGATAGCGTTCCTCTTTTTGAAACCCAGACCGTGTTCCGCTGAAATGGAACCTTTTTTCTCCCTGGTCCATTCAAATACAAATGGTTCTATCGCTTTTGCAACTTCCGGTGTATAATCAGCAGCAATAATGTTCAAGTGCAGATTGTTATCTCCCAAATGTCCATAACCAGCGGAAAAGATCACTTTAGACCCCAAACGTTCTTTCATATCTTGCACAAGTTGATACATCTGCTGTTTAGGAATGGATAGATCATATTTGTAACAGTATCCACGGCGAGCGGAAGCCTCTGCGACGCCTTCGCGAATTTTCCACACAGTCTGAAAATATTTTTAACGACTCCTGACAAATGCAAAAACTTTTGCAGCTTATGGTAACCTGGCACTAGCAGTACCTGCATTCGAGAAGGTTCGTCGGTAACGATGCCATCCGCTACCAAACCATTTCCCATCAAATCTTCCAACAGCTCATTTAATCGAGTAGAATCAGCTTCCGGCTGCCATCCCGAAACTTCAATAATGGCATAAAAAGGAAATTCTTTTAAAGGTGCAGGCACATTATGCTCTTCACAGGATACAGCAAAGCACTGAGTGTCCAGAAATTCGAAAGCTGACATGATGTCCGTTAGGCGGCTGCCGGCTTGTTGGTAGCACTGCAGAACATCCTCAAATGAATTCAATCCTGGAAAAATTTTTGGTTGTGATAACGTGTTCAGTCAGTATTAGCAATATATGCAATCCACCATACCTAGTAAACATAAACTGACTGATGTCGGTCGAGGAGGACAGAGGAGGGCAACTTGGGTTATTATTCCCAGACTTCCTTCGCTACCTGCACCATCCAGGGATATTAGAAACGGACACTATACACAACTGAATTTAACTGATTCATAAATCAGTTCCTCGCCGCGCTTTGTTGTAAGAATAAAAATTAGTATCGTGCATTTTTACGACTATAGAACGCGGCGATAAGCAGGTGTCGTTGCTTGTGGCAAATGCAGTGCACTCATATATTATACAGCATGTTACCAATGAACAGATGATGCAGATGGTATCCGGTATTGTCTTTTCGCATGTTTGTTCCAAAGGGAAGAATTGTTCCATCAGCCAAAACCTGAATAAAAGTATCCAGTGTGGATGGATCTGACATGAACGCAAGTTTTCCTCACAGGATATCGTCGTAACTATTATCGTAACGTTGCATGATACTAACCTACCACTTCCAGTCCAAGTACATTGGCATGCAGCGATCCGTAGCGTAAAAATCGTAACCCACCAGCGTTTGTGGCTACATTACCTACAGAATACCCAAATGTTCGCCAATTAATAGCATGAGCACAAGTACACTGTCCAGTGTCCACCAAATGTATGTTCTACAGTACTGTACTTTTATGGATTATTACGTTCAAGTATTCAAACAGAAGCGCATATGACAATAAGTACTTACACTTGTGCAATCACTAATTATACTGAAGAAATACGTATTCACCTCCTATGTGACAGGATCCTTTAGCTCCCAAATCCAGAGGCACAATCCGATCATTTTCCATAGCATGATTTTCCAGCGTTTCCAGTACGGTCCCAGCTTGAGCTACTGCTACGCCTGGAAAAACAACCAAACTTCTAAGCCCTGACCTGCCCAAAGAATTGTCACATTAATTTAACACTATTATCTTTCACAACAATAGTAGCGGAATGATCTGACTTTCAGCTTGGGCGTTCACCCGAAAACATTTAATAAATGTGTAACGTATATTGCCGCTACCAGGGCTACCTAACGAAACAAAAGTCGCTAAATTTCGAAATGATGGAGATCACAAAACCCTAAATATTTATTGATGCTTCTCCATGCAAATGTGTAAAAAGCACAAAAGAAATCGTAAAAAACCCCATTCCATAATACCAGAAATTTTGTCCAGGGAAATGATTTTGTTCATCAGTCCCATACTGATGACCACTTCATCAAACACGGGAACGCTTCCACCCACGAGGCCCGTGTTACCACCCTGCGGACACACGGCCAAACTGCGCTCGTTGCAGTGTTTCATTATGGCGGAAACCTGTTGCGTGTCTTTGGGACGGAGCACCACTTTGCTCTGTCCTGCAAGTGCACATCATAATAGTCCACCAACTCATGCAAAACGGGACGGAATGCAATATCTTCAAATGGCTACAGACCTCGACATATATTCAACCAGTCTACGTTATACCGCTCCAGATCATCATCGCTGGTTATCACATTATCACTGCCCAGAATCTGTCGAAATTTTGCAAGGTCCTGGTCGTTGATCTTCTCGTAGCTTCCACGCTTTATGGAATACCGATCGGCTGTGAACGGCACAGAAAACGTGGAGGCACAGCGAATGTGCCTTGGGTTGCACCTACGATTGGCCCAGGCAGTCCGACGCATGGCATACGAAACCATAACGTTCAATGACAGGAAAGATTTCGGAATCATTTTCGATGTCCAATCAAATGCGCATACAGACTGTGTTGTAAGAAGACTTAGGAGAGTTTCAAACGAACGAACGTATTCTGGTGCAAAAACCAAACCTTACTGCAACATAACGAAACCCCTTTCCAGCTTCGATTAATCCACCTCGCAAAGGTTTGTCACAAAATTGACCACAAATGGCACCAAATTAGTTGAAATTGCCAACGAACAAATAAAATAGTCTAAATAAATGGCTAATGGTAAGTACTTGATAATTATTTAAATCTGGTTGCTTTTTTACAGTTTTCCTACTGTGAGCGCAGGCGTACATGCGTACACCCTCGCTTTGGCAGTCTGTTGTGTTTTGCTGCACGCCCGCCTTACGCGTGGCGGAAGCACGCTGTTCTGCACGCACCCGCACTGTGTGGCGGCTACGTGCGCATTTTCCACGCTTGCTGTAGTCAGCAATGCGGAGTTGTCGATGAGGAAATTCTATCGAATTTAGTCTGCGTTTTATAAATTCCTAGCAATCACGCCGTTTCTCGCTTTCCGTAGCGTAGGCGCATTTATAGCATTGCTAGGCTTTTTGGTAGGCAGAATTCCGTCAATTCTGTTCCTACGCGTGAACCTTCATTGGGTCCACGCTTTCATGGTAGCAGGAGCTGTGTTTCTCCAGAATTATCTCTGAAGTTCTCCCGTCCATTTGACGAGGTGTGGAGGAAGTCTCCCGCGAGAAAGGGCTCGCGTACGGATCGGTGGCGAAGGAGCGTTTGGATCTCAGCAGATCAGCACCAGTGTGTCTCTACTGAGTAGAGCACGCTGTACTGACCTGACGCGATCAAGGCTACTGAAGTAGCTTTGATTGGAGGGGCACAAGCGCCGAAAAAGATCGCCGCAAGAGGCAGAAGCCCGAAGGGGGGCACGAGTGGGCAAGCCACTTTTGGCTGTCGGGTGTGGAGTTTCAGGTGCGTCTCTACTGAGTAGAGCGCACACACATTATACGCGCTCTCCCAAAAGGGTGATCGAGCGCCCCTGTCGTTGCCAACGTCAAGGCGCGACAGAAGACCCGCAGCCAGCAAGCTATTTGGTCGACGCACCGTCGCGTCCCGTTGAGGCGAAACGGAAGGGGTTATCGGCTGGCCCAGGAGAAGTCAGCTTAATCGCTGGAGGATTGGAGGAATCGCGGAAGGACGCGCAGGATCGATTTCTGGATCACGGAGACGATCAGGTCAGATTTTCGTTTATTAATTTAGCTATTGGCTGATTGGTAAAATCCTCAATTCTTATTGGTCGGTGATGAGCTGAGCGAAAAAGTAGGCGGTACTTTTGCGCACGGCGCGCTAGCTAAAATTTTCGATTTTCGACGTGACGTCACTCTGCCTTATAATCTGAAAAACAACACTTCTGATTGGTCGGTTATTCGCACTGTGATTGGCGCAGCAGCGTAGCTAAAGTCGGCTAGGAAATCAGCCAATTAAAAGCTGAGATTTTGTAAGGAGGCGGAGTTTTTGCGCACGACGCTCAAGATCGTGACGTAGCTAGCTAAGGAAATTTTCTGAACTGACTGACGAGAAGTTGACCTTTACCAAAAATTTCGACGAGAATGATGACCTTTATTAAAAGTTGAAAGCTGAATAAATAACGTTTATTCTGAGGAAATCTAAGTTGATTTCTCAATAAAATCGAAAAATATTCTCAGGTTAGACGTTCTAGACCGAAGTTTATAGTGACCTTTAAACAGAAAAGTTCTGAAGGAAAAAGTGACCTTTAACGTAACGGAGTAAGCTATTAGGCTGAAACAGTGGAAAATAAGTTTAATCATATTAAGGGGAGTGACCTTTAGAAAAGACTTAGCTCTTTTGGAGGCAGAGTGACCTTTAATAAAGTTGAGCTGATACAGAAGGGAAGGTGACCTTTAGGACAGCACTGTTTTCTGTTTACGTGTAAAGGGGCTTACGTAGCTAAAACTAACACACGTGTCAGAAACATTATTAGCATCGTCCAAGTTATCCGATCATCAACGGAAGCCAAAGATATGGACCAAGACACAGACGGTAATGAACCGGTCTCATCGAGCAGTCAGAGAGAACGGTCTCAGGGGTTAGAAAACCCTTATGAGCGGAAACTAAAGCCGTACACACGGCCCGTGGAACATGAAAGAGCAACTCGAGCTCAAAAGACCTTTGGGAGGAAGGACACCAGAGGCTCAGAGGCCACATATCAAACGGCCCTGAGGGAAACTCAGAACGAAAGCTCGAGTGACGGAAATGGAAAAAGCTCCGAGCGACATGTCGGAGATAACACGGTAGACCAAGCAAAGGTCACCGAAGAGAGAACGGCTTCAGATGGGCAGAACAAAGATGACAAGAAGGCCGAGACCGGAGGAATGGCACGGTCGGCCGAAAAGGTCAAGGAGGAAAACGCGGAACAAGAAGAAAAGGGAAAAGACGAAGTCAGTCAAAAGGTCACCGGAAGGGATGACGAGAACGCATTGTCGAAAGATGAAAAGGTCAACATTGACGACCTTTCGGTAAACGCCGTGACCTTTAAGGAAAAGCTGGAAGAGAATGGTACCAGCCCGGCGTCAAGCGAAGAAAAGTACTATACTGATGATGAGGACGATACGACAATACAAATGTCCTTCCATACAGCAATGAAACAAGCTGACCTGACGGATGGGATGATCAAGATGACCTTTAACGATAAGCTGGAAGAGACCTTTGAAGGAACGGCGTCAGGAAGGGCCGACGACCGGAGCCAAAGGTCACCATCACCCCAAACCTCCAAATCAAATGCACTGACGCAACGGGTCAGGGAGCTAGAACGATTGCTCGACGAAAAGGAAGGACAAGCATTTGCTGCGATCCAGGAGCAACGGAATAAAACTAATGAAGTCGAAGCTAGACTGTACGTAATGGAACAAGAAAAGGTCAACATTGAAGAGGAAGCGCAGCAGTGGAAGGTCAGATTCGAAGCTCAAAGAAAAGCTGCTGAAGAGTTGAAGAAAATGGTTGACGATAAAGAAATGGAAGGAATGCTAACTGCAGAAGACCTCAATAACAGTTTTTCTGAAGAATCAGCAGAAAGGTCACGGGAGATAGCGGAATTGAAGCATGAGCGTGACCTTTTGCAGTCAAAAGTCAAAGAAGCCGAAAAGAAGCGCGACGAATATTTGTCAAACGCGACAAAATTCACAGGGAAAGTCTCCAACCTTCAAGCGGAAATGTCTAAACTGAAGGATGACCTCAAGTCGCGCGAAGAAAATATCAAGACATTACAGACAGAACTGCAAGAGAGCAAGAAGAAGCAAAATGAAGCAGAAAGCCAGAGGGATCAGGCAGCACAGAGGCTCCTCGAACTGGCAGAAACCACGAAAACCGAAATCAAACGACTCAACAATGAAGTTGAAAGTCAAAAGAAAGAAGTTAAGAAGTGGTCAACCTCAGCACAACAGAGTGATGAACGTGTCACTGTGCTCGAGGCTCAAAACAGAGAAGGGCAGGCGAAGATCGAGAATCAAAAAGAGGAAATCGCCAAATTAAGCAATGAACTGGTAGAAATGGCTACCTCAGTGATGGAAAAGGATGATAAAATTAATGAGCTGGAAGTCCAACTGAAGACAGTCGAAGATGAATGTGAAGCGAGAGGAAGGACCCCTTACTTCGCAGACAGAGCGGATCGTATCACACGGATGGAAGCAGAAGCTGAGATCCTAAAAGCAGCGAAAAAGGATCTCGATAAGACCCTAGATAATAGGGCAAGCACAATCCTCGAGCAAATGAGAAAGGTTACCGAAGCAAATGCAGACTATGAGAAGCTGAGAAAGGACGCAAATGATATGGTGAAAGAATACCGACAGATGGAATCACTGAACAAAACGCTTCAAGAAGAAATCAAAGCACTGAGAAACTCAGCAAAAGCAAAAGAAGAACAGTGCTCTAAGGAGCCGAAACGGATAGAGTCTCCGCCCCCGGGATACGGCGAGGTCCATTCGACCGAAGGTAGCTTTCATTTCCAAGCTCCCTTAAAGACAGGGACTGGCCGAAGCGACGGCCATGACGAGGATAAGGTTAAAGCCGAAAAGGTCACCGATAATACTGAGTTGGCGAAGGGGCACTCAGGACCGATCGGTGGGATCAATCCTCGGCAACAAGAAACAGGACCGAGAGAAACAATCGTCTATAAGTCTGATCATCAGCCAGATAATCGTGAAGATCCACGAGTTCGCCAAAACGAGCAGGAAAGGGTAGCTCGTGAAGAGGAGAGGCGAGAAAGAGAATACCGCGCGGAATACCACGCTGAAGCACAGCGACTCCGTCGCGAAGAACGGGAATTCAGAGGTTACGTGAGAGCCATGGCCCGGAAATCCGCGCTGATCGACTACAACGGCAACCGAGAAGCTTTACTTGGTTGGATCCGTCAGGTCAAGGAGACTCAGAAGACGTATGACCTTTCGGATGCAGCAATGATGCTGGAAGTCGCCAACGCAGTCAAAGGGGACGCGAAGGCATGGTTTGACGCGGAAAGAGAAATCGATGACGAAGAAGAGGCGGAAGAACTAACCGTCGACGAATGGATGACGAAGTTCAAAGAACATTTTGGCGATCGTGACGAAGGGGTCAACGCCTTAAGGGAAGCTATGACAAGAAAGTTTGAGGCCGGCAAAGAAACGCTTGATCAATTCTATCAGGCGATCATGCGCTTCAAATCGAAACGGATCATTACAGAGAAGCAGGCCATCGGGTTCCTAATTCAAGGATGTAAGAACGACAGTGACCTTTATAAGGCACTCCGAGCACAGAAATTCCATAACCCAATGGATATCAAGGAATTCTTCCGCACCTGGTCGACTGGCGAAGAAAAGTATAAGGTCACGAGAGGCAACCGGGTCCAAGACGATTGCGTGATCATCCGATCGGGCCAGATCGAAGAAGTCGCGAATGGGCGACAGAACCAGTCGTGCTCGGCGCAGGCGCCAGGATACAATACAGAATTCCCGCCGTTAGGCACTCAAGAGATGACCTTTGGCAACGGTCGAAATGAAGGTCAGGTATCATACGCGACGATCGCGGCGATCCAAACGGCCGTCCAAGAAGTAACCAAGCCTGCGATCGCGGCGATCCAAGCATCAGCTCAGCAAGCAGCAAGGCCGAAACAGAACCCACAAGGAAACGTGCAAAGAAATGCCCTGAATGGAGGGCTCGGTGGCCAAGGAATGGTTCAGGCGAACCCGGGCTTTGCTGGCCAGGGATTCAACGGTGGCGGAGGAAATCAAGGAAACTTCCG